TACAGCTCGAGGCTGAGAGTTTCAGCCTAGCTCGAAGCCCTAAACCGTGGAACCCCCAGGTTGTGGTGCCGTCCTCCCTACACCCTAAACCCTAAACCCTCCACCCAAAACTCTAAACCCTAAACCCTTTGCCTTGGGAGCTTGAGGACTTCTGCCTAGGAGTCGACAGACGAAGGTCTGAAGCTCACGCTTCTCCCCGTTCGTGTTCTGGGATATACCTTGATAGGCAGCGTGGAGGTCAGGTTCAGGAAGCTTCGACTCTCAGCTTGGATTCAGCACAGGGGTCAGGTTGCGACAACTGTTCAAGTTTTTAGGTGTTGGGGTGAGTACTCTTGGAAACATGTGGCTAGCTCAATCAAAAACAGATCGCCACTCTGCCGGACAGGTAGGCATTGTACTTCGGTGGCTCTCCGCTCGGAAGCAAAAAGGAATTTCGGAGATCAGTGAGCAAGGAAGAAGACACGTCCACAAGTCAACTTCAAGGGACTGTTTGCAAACAAGCTCACATCAGACCAATCCGTCAACTGCAACCCTTCTAAACCCTATAAACCCTAAACCCTAAACCCTAAACCCTAAACCCTGCACCCTAAACCAACTTAAACCCAAGTCCACCTTACCAGTTGAGCCGGCCCCATCCCTGAACCCCGACTCGCCCAAGGTCGCTGCCAGCACAATATTGCCACCAGGATGTAGATAGCGATCCTTGCAGGCCCTAAACCCTAAACCCTAACCCCTAAACCCTATACCCTAAACCCTAAACCCTAAGCCCTAAACCCTACAGGCAACGGCTCAAGTCGGTTTAGGGCTCGAGACTGCACGCCCAAAAAACTGTCGCGCTTGACGTCGGATGAAGCAGGGTGGCTCTTGACTCTTGGCAGCAGCAAAGAGTCACAGGTCCGGGCCGGGCCCTAAAACATCTTGCCAGGACGGGCAAGATGTTTTTAACCCTATAACCCTACAAAAGGCCCGTTATAGGGTTCATTCTGGGGATTATGGGGCCTAATAGCCCATCCCGGTGAGTGCTTTCCGAGCATCAAAGTTGCTCCCTCCAGCCAGTTAGACGCACCATCCTGGGGAGCAAGGATGCCCCGACTTGTGGATGGAAGGTTTGGGTTGGGATGTTCCCCCTAATACTAAGAGGCCCTAATACGAATTTTACTGCTCCACCACCAGCCCCCGCCACCCCTAGGCCCCGTCCCCCACCCTGCTGGCGGTGCTATCTGCTTCATGAGTGCTTGGGGTTGGATCCTCTAAGAGTCGAACAGCCGAACCTGGGCTTTACGTGTTTTTGCTGCGTGGTGTGGTGTGCTGAAGTATCAAACCGTGAAGTTGAGAGACACTGGGCTGCCAGCACGAAGCACTAAGCTGACCATGAGCACCTCAAACATAGTGTGAGCGGGCAAGCCGATGCCGATAAAGGTAATATTGAAGTTGGGTACAGCTTTGGGGAAAGTGGTTCAGGCTCTGAGACATGCTTTGGAACTCTGATTTCAGCCTTCCGAGGCGGATGGACTCAAATGGGAACTAGTAACCACTCGAAGTTTTGTAGCCATGACGCCGAGGTCTCTCAACGATGTCTGGTAACCCTACACGCTTCAACATACTATCCTCGACTATGCCTGCATGCTCAGCCCTCACACAGCCAAAACTTCCCACAGGCCCGCACTGACAGAAGAAGGACCGAGGTGTCGAAGCGGCGAAAGTCAAGCGTCATAGGCACCTCGGCCAACTTGGATAACTTGGGCTTTGTAGTTTAGGACTGTTTGCTTGAGAACCTCCCACCAAAAAGATAATAATCACTATATTACACCTAAGGCAGAATGTTTTCTATGTTTTTGAGGGGGTTCTTAGTTTAGGACTTGCCCGAAGCTTTTATCAACCCTGCGTCTGAATGCATCTGACCAGCTTCCAGGTAGTGAGATTTGCAGAGGCCCCAGCATCGTAGCACCATCCGACAATGACCTCCGCTCACATGACGGGCTATCTTTGCAGTTTATAGGGACGGCGCTCCATGCCAATTCAAATTCCAAGTATGAGAGCATGATAGAGCATGTGCTCTCTGCAGGGTTGATTGCTGAGGATTGATTCGACTGGGCTCCAGTTTCCTGTCTGCAGCTGAGCGGCAGAGAATGGCACCACAAGCAGTGCAATCCTTGCTTGCAGAATGCAGACGGCAAGCGACTTTCCATGTTGCTGCGTGAAGCAATCTAAGAAGTTTAATCCGAAACCCCACCATGGAACTGCACACCCCACCCCCAGCCTTCAAAAGCCTTCAAGCTTGAAGCCCCTACACTTAGGGTTTAGGGTTTAGGGTTTAGGGTTGAGGGTTTGGGGTTTACGGTTTAGGATTACCACACCTAACGGCCTAACGCCTGCAAGCTCGGCAATGCTGAGCTCGCGACTGTGTAGAAGACCCCACTGCCACACCAAGGGAGAGGTCCTGGTGTTTCAGTCCAAGCTACCCTAATCCTCAACCCTAAGCCCTAAACCCTAAACCCTAAACCCTAAACCCTTTTTTTAACACGGACCTCTGAAGCCTGTCCGGAGTCCCCTCAAACCCACCACCCACTGAGGCCCGCACCGCAGAACGCCCGTGCTTCACACAAAGCGCTCAAGCTCAGAGTATGTATCTTTGATACAATCTGAATGCGGGGGCTTCTTCAAACAAGAGGATGTGTTGATGAACTTTCAAATGTTCGGAGCGGGTCTTCTGTAATGAGGGAAGAAACTGTTGCAAAAGGTCAGGATCAGCAAGAAACTGAATCACGAAAGAAGTTTTGTACATCTGGAAGTAGGCAAACCACTGGTCTAGACAAGTGCCAAACTCATCATGCGTGGGAACATGCATGACCTGCCAACCATGCTCGCGATCCAACCAGAAGAACGCCAGCTCGTGTGCCGGAGCACTAGTCACAAAGATGGTGGAGCACCAGAACACCTCATGATTGGCCGCTTCCGTTTCGCTGCTCCAGCACATCTGCTGCACCACCGGTGGTGGGGGCACAAAGTGGGAGGCAACCGCAGGTAACCGAGCCTTCCACCGATCCCGTGACTGCGCAGCATCAGCCGCCAGCAGAGGCTGCGTGTCGTCCCGCACTCGTGCATGTTGTTCTTGACTCCATCCCTAAACCCTAAACCCTAAACCCTAAACCCTAAACCCTAAACCCTAAACCCTAAACCCTAAGCCGGAAATGCAGAATGACGTCTTCTTACACCTAAACCCTAAACCCTAGCCCCAAAATTTCTTTTGCCCTCCGGGTCACTGAGCAGGAGGTGCCAAGTCTGCAGAAGGCACTGGCTTCAAAGGCTCGGGCTTGCACAGGACGTGTTGTGTGTCATGTTGGTTTAGGGTTTAGGGTTTAGGGTTTAGGGTTTAGGGTTTAGGGTTTAGGGTTTAGGGTTTAGGGTTTAGGGTTTAGGGTTTCAGGATTCAATGCGCCTCCTGCAGGTGAGATATTGGTGAAACTTGTGCCAGACCTTCCGTCAGCGGCAGAAGTTGGGGGTAATTTCCCAACAACGACGGGGAGTTCTAACCCTAAACCCTAAACCCTAAACCCTAAACCCTAAACCCTAAACCCTAAACCCTGCGAAGCCCTGGTGCAAAAACCTGCGGAATGTGGGATGCCCCTCAAAATCCTCTCGAAATCTTCCCCATACTTCGCAGAGGCCAGCTGTCGGTTAAAGACGGAGCTACCCAGATCTTCCAAAACCCCTTAATTAAGGAATATACCCTAATTTGTACTAAGGATCCTTATTAGGAATTAAGGTATATACCTTAATTAAGGGGTTTTGGAAGATCTGGGTACTCAGCCTTTGCCAGGATGCACTCGCGGCGTCCCTTCCGGCTCTCTGGACGAAGGCTTCCTGACAAACAGAAGCTGAAGCTTTGGGATTCTAGGTAAGGATAATAAGGATAACTATTGCAAAAAACAATGCTCCGGAACTCGAGAAACAATCAACAACTGAAGGCGATTTTTTTGAGGCACAACCCCAAACCCCAAACCCCAAACCCTAAACCCATTCTTCTTCGGAGCAGGGCTTGTTGTGCGTGCTTCCAGTACATAAACTGCCCTTTGCTGTATTGTTGTGAGCGCCCCCTTTGATGTGGTGCATCCTTGGGCCAAGGTGTTGCCAGGGTGTTGGGTGCATGTTCTGGGGTCGAAGGGTTTAGGGTTTAGGGTTTGGGGTTTAGGGTTGGGTTAGTTACTAAGATCCGGGGAGCCCGTTGCCTGCAGGTGTTGATTCCGGGCCTTCCTGCATGAGCCGCAAGAGGGTTTCTGACAATGATTTCTGACATCTCCCGCTGATGAAACTTGAATTCAGACCCTCAATCTTGAAAAGCACCCGCGCTCACGATGGGCAGAAAAGTGCAGACATAGTTTTTTGCACGCTTCCTTTGCTATTTCTTCGCACCGGTCAGCCCGAATTTACTTCTTCACCCCCTGTACAAGGTGATGGCTGCTGGGCGGGTCGACTGCTGCACTAGCCGACAGTGGATCCAGAAAGAAATTTAGGGTTTAGGGTTTAGGGTTTAGGGTCCAGGGTTTAGGGTCTAGGGTCTAGGGTCTAGGGTTTAGGGTTTAGGGTTTAGGGTTTAGGGTTTAGGGTTTAGGGTTTAGGGTTTAGGGAAACCCGGACTCTAGCCGGACTCACGACTGCCAGTGTGAACTGTCACTTGTCCTCGTACATCCAAACAACGCCAAAGACCACTTTATCAAAGGGTCCATGTACCTATATGGTATATATTTGGGCCCTAAAGCTACTATATAGGAACCCCTTTAAGGCCCAAGTATGTACTATATAGGTACATGGACCCTTAGGGTTTATCTCCAGATGTCATACGGATGACTTGGAAACGTGACAGTGGGGCCCAGATCTTCACAAACCCCTTAATTCAGGAATATACCCTAAGTTCTACTCAGGATCCTTCTTAGGAATTAGGGTATATACCTTTGATTAAGGGGGTCTTGGGAGATCTGTTAAATTTCTAATTATGGCTCTCAGGCTGCTGGAAACACGTCATATTGCTGGACGTCTTGGGTAGGGGGCTGGTACTGCATCTTGCAGGAGATGTCACACATGTCCTGGACAGTCAGCTCCTGAGTAGCCCAGTAACCATATGAAAAATAAGGGCAACCCTTTTTTTGTGGTTGGTTACTTTATAAGGGAACCCAGAACCAAAAACTCAGTTGTCCAGTTCCTAGGGGTTTTAAAGGTTAACCTTTGGGAATATAAGGGGAATGTATTAACCCAAAAAGGTTAAAGGTTACCTACTCTACTACGAAGGAAAAAAGGGGTAAAATTGTACCACGGGGCTGCCGAGGCTCCTGCTTCATGAAGTCGCAGGTGCTGTCCGCAAGCCGGGAATTGGCTGAGCAGGCCTTGTACAGCATCTCAAGGTCGTCGATCGCATTCAGGACATCCTGCGTGCTTGGCACGCCCCCTTGGACCACGTTGTACACCACCACCGTGATCGTCACGTGCTCGGAATCATGGCGCTTTGGCGCTTTCACGGAAAGGCCCGGCCACACATCGAACTCGGAGCCGCGTGACACACGGGCAGCACTGCTTCGTCCGCCTCGATCACGCCCTCGATCTCGATCATCGTTGCTGCAGCTGCCACGGGACCCACGGCTCCGTGCCCTGCTGCGGCTGCGGCTGCGGCAGCTGCTGCGAGGCGTGTCTTCCTTCTGTGGCAACCCTCCGGAAAAATGAACGCCAGGCCCCCTCTCCCATTCTATCTCTCTCTCTCTCTCTCTCTCTATCGCTCTTTCTTTCTTTCTTTTCTCTCGCGCTCCCCCTCTCTCTCTCTATATGACCTGCATACTCAGAATGGTAAACTTGCTTCCATGCCTAGTCTCCGCTGTTTTAAAAGCTTTCAGAATGGTATCCTGTCCGTAACAGCTGGTGGTCGTCACGGTGAGGCTGCCGTCTGCGCCCCAGGTGACTTTGCTGTTGGTGCCGAGGTCGGTCAAGTACCTTGCTGTCTCGTCCTTGAACCCTCAACCCCTAAGCCATGCCAGAACAAAGAGCCAGCGCGTTGTTCTCAACATCCAAGATTCTTCTGCGCATCTTGCTGCCAACTGCACAAGCCCTTGCGCTCGCCGCGGCGCTGCTTCAAGGGCACCTTGGCGAGGGGGCTGCACCAGCACGGGCGAGATTATACCCGAACAAACCCTTAAAAAGGCCCTTTATGGGCTTCATTCTAGGGATTATGGGGCAGAATAGCCCATCCTGGTAGCCAGTGTTCAAGAGTGTTCAAGAACATAGCTTGACGCTGGCGGCCGACAACCGCTGCAAGCTCCATGTCTCTGTCTTGGTCGTATGATGTCGTATGGCACTCCTTACAGAAACTCGGCCTGCCAGTCTCCACACAAATGGAGAGACGCCTGTCCAAGAACAAGCCCCCACCCTGGAGGCCAGAAATCATGCCCAACCCGAAAGCCTCCAAAGACCCCCCAAGCGGGTGGCCCAAAACCGGCTTTTCCCCAAAGCTTTGAAACTTCAGTTTCATCAACTTCCTCAATATCGACATCGCAAGCGCACCTGGATGGTCATCAGAACATTGAAGCGTTTGCCCATGGCCCGAATGCCAATCACACTGGAGGTGGCCTTGCCTGGGGTTCAGGATTCTCGAGGACCTTTACAGAAGGTTCAGGGTTTAGGGTTTAGGGTTTAGGGTTTAGGGTTTAGGGTTTAGGGTTTAGGGTTTAGGGTTTAGGGTTTAGGGTTTAGGGTGTGGCACTCCGGATGTTTTCCCACAGTAGGCTTGCGCAGAGTATGTCTCTTGATGATTGACTCTATGCTACGCGGAACCTGCAATCCACCGATGTCGGGCCGGTGCAAATAGGACCAAACCAGCCCTCCAGGTGCTGCTAGCCGTCGACCTTAAGGTGCCCTACACTCCAACCCCGCGCAAGCCTGAGGCCCTCAACTTTACTGTAGTACTCGTACTCGTACTTGTACTCGTAGCCGTACTCGTGCTACTGCTGCTGCTGCTGCTACTACTACTACTACTACTACTACTACTACTACTACTACAACTACAACTACTACTACTACTACTACTACTACTACTACTACTACTACTACTGCTACTACTACTGCTACTGCTACTGCTGCTGCTGCTGCTACTACTACTACTACTACTACTACTACTACTACTACTACTACTACTACTACTACTACTACTACTACTACTACTACTACTACTACTACTACTACTACTACTACTACTGCTGCTACAGCTGCTGCTGCTGCTACTGCTACTGCTACTGCTACTGCTACTGCTACTGCTACTGCTACGACTACTGCTACGACTACTACTACTGCTACGACTGCTGCTACGACTACGACTACGACTCTGACTACGACTACGACTACTACTACGACGACGACGACGACTACTACTACTACTTGCTAACTACAAACTATTGACTACTGACTACTAACTACTGACTACTAACTACTGGCTACCATCTACAAACTACTAACTACTAGAACTAATGGCGAACTACTAACTACTACTTACCGCCAGCGACAACTAACTACTGCTAACTACCAACTACTACTTCCTACTTCAACTTCTACTTACTCTACATACTACTTGTTACTTACTACTTGCGACTTTCTGCTTACTACTTGATACCACTGCTAACTGCCAGCTAAGTACTACTTTCTTCCTACTACTTGCTACTTACTGCTCACTACTTACTGCTACTTACAACTTGCCACTTACTGCTCACTACTTACTGCTACTTCCTACTTACTACTTGCTTCTTACAACCCACTACTACCCAGTACGACCCTACCATTACTACCACTGCCACTACCACCACTATACTACTACGACGACGACGACGACAACGACAACGCCGCAGTGCTACTAGACACCTCTTCGAAGTGCATCCGCGCGCTCCTCGACGCTCTCCTCACACAGTACACAGACTCTAAACTCTAAACCCTAAACCCTAAACCCTAAACCCTAAACCCTAAACCCTTAGCTCATTTCACAGATCACGGCTGTCGAAACACCTCTTTAGCGACCTTTAGATGATCATGAAGCGATCTGGGCTCCAATGGTGTTGGGAAGCCCCCGAAGTGCCCTTGACCCCCAGGAACGCAATCCTGAACATAATCCTATATTGCCCTTATAGGGAATAGTATTGTTTGTTTTTTGGGGGATCTTAAGCAAATAGCAGGAGGTCCTGAACATTCCGAAGCCCCTTCCTTGACAGCGCGGCGAGTAAGCCAGCGGACACTTTCGACCCAACAAGCACGTCTATTGACGGTAAACTCCCTGAGTGGCACAAAATTGCACGAATCCCCCGACTTAGCCTATACCCTAAGCCCTAAACCCCGAGCCACCAAACACCGAAAGCCCGAACAGCCGCCCACTCCTCCTGCGGCCCTCCAACGCGGTGCTGGCTCTCTTCCGCCTGGAGATGCCAAGGGTTATTAAGGATATTCAGATTCTTAAAGATTATCAAGATTATTCATAGTACGAATATTATTAATAGGATTAGAATGATGATATTCATATACCATTAATATTCCAGGCCAGGGATTCTCTTATGTGAGCTGGCCCACGAGGGCGGGGGGCTGCTTTTGTCGATTCATGCGCCAATGAAACTCCCCCAAATACTTGAGGCTGTCAACCAGGTGTAGCAACTTGATACAGCTTGCAGACCAAACTTTTTGAGAACACATCTATTTAAGACGCGGCCGCACGGGCACCCCATACTGTGCGCCCAAGGGCCTCCAGCCAGTAGCGGTGGATTTTACCATGTCCTGTCAGCAGCTGGGCGACTGCAACTCAAATGTCTGGGCTGCTCCGTGCCCATATCCGATTGGGTGTACTGCACCAATATGAATACTTAAAAGCCTTCTTCAAATGGTAGCCCAGTGACCATGTTATAATGAGGGCACCTTTTTTTGGTTGGTTACTTTAGAAAAGAACCCAAAACCAAAAAAAGACAGGTTATAGGGCACCACAGGGCCACCAAGTTCATATAAGAAAGCACCATAGCAAGACCCCTGAAGGCGTCCATCTGTGGCGTGGTGGAAGAGCCGCTTCTTGCCGCGGCCATCCTGGCAACGCACGCATATGGGTGTATGACAAGAGCTAACCGCGAAGGTTTGGGAGAGGACCTGAAACTCAAAGGCATAGCCCGAGGCCCACTGCGTTAGGTTTCAGAAGCTTGGTGGTCCTTCAAAGGCCTTCATCCTATGCAAGCTCTTTTGGTCGCAGAAGTCTGTCTTCAAAAGCAGTTTAACTGGCTGCTGCCTCTCTCAATCAAACATGACCGTCCTTCTCTGAAAGGCAAGAGTGTCCGACATAAGACTGGCATGTGGTCGTACATTGCAGCACCCTTTGAACCCCCGTGCCAAAGCCCGTAACCTAAGCCTGCAGTGAGCATGAGGCTCTCTCAAGCAACCTCACCGATGGCTTGCTAAAGCTGCTAACGACTGAAACAGGGATCGATAGGTCGGATATTAGGGTTTAGGGTTTAGGGTTAGGCCGAGTTTTAGCGGGTCCTGTTGGACGGCTATGCCCTGGCTGGTGCACAGCAGGAGGAGATTCCTGCCACAGACTTGGGAGCGTGAGGGGCTTGTGTGGCCAGAGGACGCACTTGTCGAGCACCACTTCAGCACAGCAAAGCAAAACCCTAAACCCTAAACCCTAGACCCTAAACTCTTCCGAAACAGCTCAGCGCAGAGCTGCTCCTGGGGTCAGAGTCTTCCCGGGTGTTGTAGTTGTACGCCTCTGTGGCAAACTCCAGGGTGCCCCGTCCTCGTGATTGCCGGGGGGGCTTTAGGGCCATAAGCTCTCTAGGCTTAGGGTTTAGGGTTTAGGGTTTAGGGTTTAGGGTTTAGGGTTTAGGGTTTAGGGTTTAGGGTTTAGGGGTTTAGGGTTTAGGGTTTTGGGCATCTGTTGTGTAGGGTTTGGGGGGCTTTTTTGCTTTGCTGCGCAGTCGCCGGAACCAGGGGCTTCCACCGGCAGAAAGGTGGTCTGGAAGCGGATGGAGCCTTGACTGCACTTAGGAGGGTAGCAAAAAATTATAAACTTTTAGCTGCCGTATTCAGAAACCCAATAAACCCAAAAAGGCTAAAGATGTAAAGTTACAGTAAAGCACCACAAAGGAGCATTTGGCATCCAGGGCAGCGTCGGACAAGTCCGTGTCGCTGGGAAGGCCCGCGTACTTTCCGTACCTTAAGGCCATGCCAAAGCTCAAGCACGGTCACCAAGGGTCCTAAGCTAAATCCTGAGGGCCTGCCGGTAAATACCCAAAACCCTAAACCCTAAACCCTAAACTCTAAACCCTAAAACCCTAAACTCTAAACCTCAACCCTCATGCCCAGAACCTTGCACTTGAAACCCAAGTTGGAGGGCGTGGGGGGCACCCTATCACCTCAGCCTGTACCTTCGGAGAAGACCTTGCAAAAGGTTTAAGGTTTAGGGTTTAGGGTTTAGGGTTTAGGGTTTTAGGGTTAAAGAAAGGATGGGAGCATGGGTCCTAATAGCCCATCCTGGTAACATCTGCTGAAGACGACCCAGTCGCGCCCCGAGCTCCTGAAGGATCGTGCGAAGGGTCACAGGTTGAGGCGGTCCTGCCCCTTTTCCTGCAAAGGATGGGCGATTAGACCTTATAACCCTCAAAATGCCTCAAAAGGGGGCTTTTTCTGGGGCTGCTTATGGGGGTTATAGGGCCTCATAGCCCATCCTGGAAGGAAAGTAGAAGTGATCCAAGCTTCGTTTAGGGACTCCGGGGACGTTGAAGAGCTCAACTGCTGGGAGAATCGCGTACAACAGAATGCAGCGGTAGACAGCCCCACTTCAGGGGGGTTTCCCAAAAAAAGGGTAACTCTTATATACCCCGAAATGATACGAGTATAACCCTTAGTATAGGAATCCGCAAAAATAAGGGTACCTCTCATATAACCCTTATTCTAGGAATCCCCCAAAGTAAGGGTACCTCTCAACAAACCCTTATGAGGGAATCCCCAAAAAAGGGACTGCGCACCTTATGTAGGGGATGCCTTTCACTACCATATGCTTAAGGAACCCCACAAAAAATGTAAGATATTATTCCTTGTTATAAAGGCAATATAGGGGTTATTATTCTGCATATTTTGGCGCTCTTAACCAAAGAGTAGTTCAAGCGCGTCCCCAAGATGTTTCGCACACAAGTACCAGCCTCGCCTGCCACCACTGCTACCTCCTCAGGATTCACAGGAGGGCTCAGATCCGATGGGCTTTGGGGTTCGAGGTATCTGGGAATCAGGGCTCCAACGGTTTAGGGTTTAGGGTTTAGGGTTTAGGGTTAGGGTTTAGGGTTTAGAAACCCACGAGTTGAACGGAGTTCTTTCCCTTGAACCCCCCCTCCCTCCTGAAGCATACATGTCAGATTGCTTGATCCTAAGCACTCGTGCGCTACATACCAGACCCGAATGCGATGCCCTCCCACCAGCGCCTCCGAAAATGGAAAGGAGCTACTTGGCATTGCAAGAGCTAACCGATCATACTCATCAACAGCATTCTACTTCAGAGCGCTTCAATCAAATGTGCCAACTCCAACCACTAGAATCTACGATCCCCTTCACCCACACCCCTCTGAACCCTAAACCCTAAACCCTAAACCCTAAACCTGACCCCCGGCTGGTCCTGGGCGCCAACGACCCCGAGCTTCTCGTCCCAGTTCTCGCTGCGCACCGTAAACAGCGCCGTGCCGCTGCGACTTTTGAGGTAGGTGTCCTGAGAAGGGGCTCTCGATCACGACTGAAAGAAGAATCCTAAACCCTAAACCCTAAACCCTAAACCCTAAACCCTAAACCCTAAACCTAAACCCTAAACCCTAAACTGAAGTGTGGGATCAGGGGGCCTGGCTCACGGCATGAGCCGTAAGATCTTGAGGTTCAAGTACCAATCCAGCCGCCGGATGCTGTTCAGGGATCTGTCTTCTTGCTGGTTGGGAGATGTTTCAGTATCATGCCTTCCCTCCAAAAGCCCTTTGCAGGATTCCGCGCCTTCTTCCGAAAATGTAAACTACTGTAAACCCTAAACCCTAAACCCTAAACTCTAAACCCTAAACCCTAAACCCTAAGACGGGTAAGAAGCTTGAGGCAGCCCTGAGCCTGGGAGGGCGGAGGGGGGTTCGGAAGAAAGTTTAAACCCTAAACCCTAAACCCTAAACCCTAAACCCTACTTCGGACGTGCTCATGGCATCATGATCACCCTGAGCACCCACCAAGGGGCGTTGGATTGTTAGGGCTCAAAAGCCCTGTGACGTTGTGGTTGGAAGCCGAAGGCTAAATACCAGACCCACAATGGACATCGGGATTCTTAGCGAGGTGGGTGGCATTGCAGGTACGGAAACCCTGCTGGAGTCCTTATAGCCCTTGAAAGTAGAAACCCCATAAAATGCTGAAGCCGCCTCGTTTTCTAGCGCCTTCAGAAAATTGGGTTTGTGACGATTCTGCGAGCCTGGCGTCTGTGATGTTCGCACCCCAGCAAGACAGGGAGCCACCCACCGTGCCCCTGCTGACGTCGTCCCAGGACACGACCTTGCAGCTGTAGCCTGTGCCAGCTCCATGGGGCTGCGGCTCCATGCCGGTGGGTTAGGGGATTTAGAGTTTGGGGGCTTAGGGCTTAGAAGAGTTTTTGGGATTTCGGAGGTTTAGGGGGTTAGGGTTTAGGACTTCCCCTTCTCCAACTCCCACACAACTTGAAGCTGGCCTGCATAGTGCCCCCCTTTGCTCCGGCAAGCTGCGTTGATGGCCTGCTGGTAAGTTTTGGGGCATCAGGGGTTCGATGCCTTAGGATGCCCTAGGGATTTGGGGATTCCGGCTCTGGGGCTCTTGCAGCGGCTTCGTACGACTCTGATCGTTGTTTCCCGAGACCCATCGCTATCCCAGGCTGCTGAAGACCCCTGAACCCTAAACCCTCAACCTTACACCCTAAACCCGCACCCTAAACCCACGCATCATGCGACTCCCTGGCCTTCATCGTCTCGGGAACAGTGGGCATGATGGAGCACTGATGCCAAGCCGCCGAAACTTCGAGACAATGGCTTGACCCCTTGAAGCTGAGACTGCAGATCCAGCAAGGTGGTTGCATCATGACACTAGCTCGTGCTGCTTGTGAGTTGTTGTTCCCCCTGCTTCCTTCCTTCATGTGGTCTTCTGCTCTCTTTCTTCCTCTCTCTTCGATGGATCGAAGTCTTGAGGAAACTTGCGACCCCCTACATGAACGATCCCGCTCTAGACCAATTTATGGTATCCCCACTACATAATGTGGGCCCTGAAAGAGGCCTTGCGCCAGGCACCTTGATGCTGCGCTGCAGATGGGTCTCCTCAGTGTGCTTGCTTTGGGCAGGGGTTTTAAGGTTTAAGGTTTAGGGTTTAAGGTTTAGGGTTTAGGGTTTAGGGTCTAGGTGACTTGAACTGTTGGTAGAGCATGCAGGCACCATGGCCACGATATCATGTTGTCTAACTGGCAGGCTTGAAACTTGAGTCGTGATCGTTTTACGAAGCCCAAGCCCTTAGGCTATCACTAGTTTTGGGCTGGCTGCCGCCGTGTCAAGACTCGACTTAGGGGGATCCCTGGAACCCCTCTAGAGCCGAATTGTGAACACCTCGGCAAAATCACAGTCCCGGCTCTGAAATAATTCCTAGTACCTATTTAGCAAGCCGTGACATTGCAAAACGTGTCAGAACACCCAAAGCACTTGTCGTTCGTAAGGCCAAGACAATGGTCCGCAGGTGTTCCTTGGCTTCTCTTAGCAGCTTCTCAACAACATGAACCTGTATGGATTTCTTTCGGTAGCGCACAAGAATGCCAGAATGGCCAACATTTTTTCCAAGAGCATCCAAGGCTCTGCAGACAGGCCGTAGCGTTTAGAGAGGCCACGTGCCTGCTGCGCTTGCGAAGCTCACTGATGATTACATTGGACGTCCATATGTTATGAACATCTGTGAAACAGTCAGGGTGATCACATTTCGGGAGCCGGCATGAGATCACTTTACCATTCCTGCACTGCATTCTCACACATCTTGTTCCCTGCGGTTGTAGTCGTTTCAGCAAGTGTCAATCAACACAGGCTTCGACGCCCAGCCTCGCCGAGCCACGTGCCGGCCTTCAGAGAAGGGTTTTTGGGGGCTCAGGGCCTTGTAGGGATTCGGGGGGGCAGCCCCCGAAGCCTGGCACGTCCTGGTAGCTGAATCCTCCAAGAGTGCAACAATCCCGAAGCCCAGAGTCGTAGATCCGATGATCCTGACCGTTCAAAAGAGGCTAACCTCCCCAACTCTCACGGGCGCCAAAGCCACAGAGTCTAAACCAACTTGCAATCAGAGTAAGGCCTTTATCTTGGCTGCACTTAGGAGGGTAGCTGCGAATTTAATTTTTAGCTGCCTTCTGAAGAAACCCAATAAACCCAAAAAAGCTAAAGATGTAAAGTTACAGCAAAGCACCACAAAGTTATAAGCAGCTTTCACACCTTTCAGGGCTCAGGGTTTTGAGATCAGACCCTGGTCTCAACTTCTGTACCTCAAGTTCACTAAAGGATGTTTACCCTAAACCCTAAACCCTAAACCCTAAACCCTAAACCCTAAACCCTAAACCGTTGTTGCTGCTGGGCTTGAGGACCAGCCAGATTCATGCTTGGACCTCTAAACCCTTCTAAGGTTTAGAAGGGATTCTGGGCTAAAAAACCCTAAACCCTAAACCCTAAACCTGTGCCCGGATCTGTTTGGGAGCCGGCCTTCGGAGCCGGCGGCTTCGAGGAAGGAGGCGGCACTTTTCCAGCGGCCTCTCGGAACAGCTTTCATATAGGGACATTAGTAGGTTGTTTTTGTTGTTTTTTCTTTTTTTTTTTTGGGGGGGGGGGGTGCTTGCTATATAAATATACACGGACCACTAGGGGGTACTATTAGTACTATTTCGACCCCTATGTTAGGGCGATGAAGCTGAGAGTTCTCGATTCTGAAAACGTTCGGGCTTCTGCACAGGCACCGTTGCTCACTCGAGCTTTTGCTGCGGACTTTTTTGGGAAGGGATTTGAATCATGGGGGACTTCATAGGTGTTCGGAAATTGACAGGGGATTGAGATTTTCAGCTTCAGAACTTCGGGGTCTCCGAGGCTGTGAGAGGTTCTATCGACAACGAATCAACGAAGCAAGCCTGCTATACTTCGGGTAGCTTGGTGAATCAGAGCTGGCATAAGGCATTCAGCACTTGTTGATCCTCGCTCCAGCTTTCGATCTCCGTCAACGCGGCAAGTGCGTCACACAAAGCCGGTGGCAAAGGCACATCAACGTCGACGACAGCAAATGTGAGGTCGCCTTAGCTCGCTTGACTTGCCAAACAGACAAAGTCGGCAGCACAGTGGCATCATGACACATGATGATGATGATGATGATGATGATGATGATGATGATGATGATGATGATGATGATGGGCGTGGTGTTCGGAAACGCCTGCTATGAACCCTAAAGCCTAAACCCTAAGCCCTAAACCCCTTTGTTTTTCGTGTCGCGCAAGAGGCTCCCACATGTGCCCCTTCGAAACGGGGTTCAATGGGGCTCAACCGGGTGGAGCGTCGTGAGAGTGCCAGGTCGGAGAAGTGCAAGGTCCCATACGGGTAGGTAAGAATATAATAACAGAACACACACATATATATATATATACGGTTATTTAATAACATCATAATATGATAAAAATACAGTTATGTTATCACTTCATAATGTGGTACAACAATATATGACAGTAAAACATTCTCCTACTAACAACTAATATCTACAGGTTATTAAGTACCACAATCTGAGAATACACTTATGCAATAACATCATCAAATAACATAATAATATGATACAGTAACACATTATACACTAACAACTCATATCTACAGGTAAGTACCACAATGTCCTGCCAAGAGTTCTCAGCCGTGCGGCGGAAGCGCACGGAGCGGCAATGGAGGAAGAGGCGTGAGCACCAGGGCACCTACTTGCAAGCTGAGCAGGGGTTTAGGGTTTAGGGTTTAGGGTTTAGGGTTTAGGGTTTAGGGCTTAGAGTTGCCCAGGCTTCGTACAGAGGCTTCAGACTGCCAGTGTGCATCTGTGGGCTTTAACAAGCTCGACCCTTCCAACTCTCTCACACATTGAAGTCCACGGTTTCGGGTTTCGGGTTTAGGGTTTCTGAGGCTCAGGGGGACTGGTCAGCGGATGCCGATTAGGGGCTTGAGGCACTCCTTTGAGATTGTCTAGTCTAGCACAAGGCGACGCCCCGGATCTTGCATGAATTCGCATCCAAATCCTCTTGCCCCAAACCCAAAGTGGACCTCCAAGCCATAGAGGACGTCACCAATCAGAGGGCGTCCGATGCTGGCCATGTGTACACCTCTGAAGCCCCATTTCTGGGCTTGCAAGGGTGGAGCTTGTTTTGGGGACCAAAATGAACCCTTCAAGGGTTTATGGTTCGGAACTGTATTAGGATTAGGAGTGTCTATGACCCCAATTTTAGGGTTTATTTCGTTCCCAGGGTGGGTCTTCGGCTAAGCCCAAGCACGCCTAAATCTTCTCCTAAGGTCAGCCTTTCCCGACTGCTCAGCCAACACGAGCCCAAAGTGAACCCTAAACGGCTCCCCCCCCCCACCCCCCCACCCCCAAACTTTGGTGCATTTGGAATGTGTCGAAGTCCCTCCGTCGAATGAGTCGCGTCTGTGCTCCTTGACTTCGTGTTCCTCATCTTCGCTCGCAGTCTGCCAAACGGAGCTTCCCAAGCAACTATGCCAGGGTTCATATGCCTGAATAGGAATTATAGTAGCACAGGGCACCAATTTCAGGGTTCAGTTCGTCCCCAAGATCGCTAGCCCAGTGTTGCAATACTCCCCCCCCCCCCCCTAAACCCTAAACCCTAAACCCTAAACCCTAAACCATATACCTGCGGCCAAGGCACGGATCTGGTGCGTCCGGCCAGTGAGCAGTTTCACCTTGGGATCATCGAGCAACTTCGGCACACTTCTCGATTCTACAGTGTCTCAGCATCTAAGGGTTTAGGGTTTACTGGCGACAACGGAAGTCGAAACCACCCCTTTCAAATACGTCTAAACCCCAACGAACGCACCGGTTCAAGCGAAGGCGAATAAAGCACTATAATTACCAGATCAGAATTCCCCAGTGAACGCTGTGGGTGGAATGTTTTGTTGGGCAGCACCAAAGCATGGGTAAAACTCAGTTTTGCCAATACTTTGAGACTTTGCTCGATCCAGCGAATTCTCTCGCGTTTCTCACGATACCTACGTCACTTGTGCCATGTTTGCGCAGTGCCCTACATTGCAAATCCATTTCCCCCCATTGAACGCCGAACTGTAACGACTTCCATGTTTTTTCTCCCTGAATGATTTGCTTGAAAAACAATGCCCGGTTTAGACTTCCACAGTTCACAGTAGGGTTTAGGGTTTAGGATTTAGGGGCTTGGGCTTTAGGGTTCATCAGTGCGGTGAAGAGAGGTTTGAGGCTGAAAGGGTTTGGTTTGGTCCAGACTGAGCCTTGTGCAAGGATCGAAGCAACGCACATGCGGACCTGTTGCATAGCCTGTTTCCCGTAGAAATCCCTGCGCCAGCGAAATACTTCGTTCACACCCCTAATCGCCTAAAAAGCAAACCCATGCCAATGGCCAGAAAGGCCAAATTGAACCACAATTGCAGCGAGCTGCTCTCAGAAGCATAACTTCTTGGTGGTCGGGTGTGTCTGGAGATGCATATCTGCTCAGGACCTCCTGAGAGATCAGGGACTTCTATTCCCAGTGGGGGTCCGTGAAACCTGAACTCTAAACTCTAAACACTAAACCCTAAACCCGGGTTGCTAGAGGGGCCCCTCAGCAAGAGATTTCTGCCTAGTTGTTGCTTTCTTGCAAGGGGGTTAGGGATGGCCTGCCAAGCATCACCCCCCCCCCCCCCCCCAAGTAATTCGTGGGTTGGAAGGCGTGGGGCTTTTTGAGGTCAAGCCAGGCTATGAGATGCCTTGGGCTTACACAAAGTGACAGCCAGGTGTGTAACCCTAAACCCTAAACCCTAAACCCTAAACCCTAAACCCTAAACCCTAAACCCTACACCCTAAACGGAGGAACGGCTACCTTCGGTGGGCGTCGGCTTCCAAAAAACCAACCTACGCGTCTCAGCACCGACCCAAGATTTTTGCCTCAAGCCCTGTGCCACCTTTTTCTTCCGAAATGGGCTCAACTCCACACCTGAAAATTGAGGTCCTAATACCATATGCTACTATAACCCCTAGTAAGCTATATGAACCATAAACCCTTCTAGGGTTCATTTGGTCCTTAAGGAGTGGAGTCCGAGGCGGGAGCAGATGATAAAGAGGTTCCGGCGAGAGTCGTACATAGTGTGCGCCGGCCGCCCTCTGGATGAGACCTGCTCGGATTCTCTTAGGGTTTTAAGGGGGCTTAGGGTTTAGGGTTTAGGGTTTAGGGCACATTAATAGTTTTGCAGATTGAAGAATTTCAGAGTTTCGTATTCTCGCAATATTCAACTGATGATTCGCTTTATAGTTGTCGTTCCTTGTTTCTTGCAGCATTGTAACTTCTTTTCTTTCGCTCACTCAAAGCCCCTTGTAGCGAGTTAAACATGAACTTTTTTAGTACATTAGTTTTGTTGATATCTAAGGGGCCTTTATATCGTATAATATAGGGTCTTTGGCCCTGTTGAACAGCACAAAGGAAAACCCAATAAACAATATCAAGCGTCCGTACGTCCTGATGAATTACTAGATGGTTTTGATGTTTTAGTGGCCTTGATCTACCATAATATCCTTATATTTAATTTGGCTTATAAAATAGTGAGCTGGCGAAGGCCCCATTGAGTACATTTCATGCGCTTGCTTCGTTCGCCGTTCGCCTGTAAATGAGAGAAAAAGGCGGAAAAGGCCGGGGAAAATTCGAAACACAGTCTAATTTCTGCTCTTGTAGAGCTCTGCTGCAAGCCTTCTCTGAACGAGAGGACAGAACTACATCTGAATGCAACACATGGGTGACCTACTTTAGGGTGTGGGGTGCCATTGAGAACTTTGAAAGGCAGGTGATTGGAGCTTTTGCAAGCCAAGCTTGGCAGCCCAGTAACCATATTGGAATGAGGGTACCCTATTTGGGTTCTTTTACACCTTGCGGACGAAAATTAAACCCTAAAATTGGGGTCATCTACCCCCGCCCTACACTACTGTATTTCCGATTAAGGCATATGAGCTGGAAAAAACCACTTTATAGGGTTCATTCCCCAAGGTAATCCTTGAACCAGGGCTACCAAGCAAGATCTCTCTTACCCAGACCCCTGGCAGGATCCAAAAAGTAAAGCCCCCAAATAGTACCCTCTACTACTATTGGGTGACTCTTAGGAACCGTTAAGGGGATCTACTTTTGGCATCCTCTTAGGGTTCTGAGTTGAGACCCAGGTGTGGGGGCTTTGGTCTCTGTGGCGGCCTCCGCCCGGAAGACACCTTCTTCCACTTCCCGTGCCCGTAGTGGACTGCAGATTTCCTGAGGAGTCGGTTGCAGCTTAGGGTTTGGGCTTCAGAGGGTTTAGGGTTTAGGCCGGACCCCAAACCCACGGCATGGCCCTGGAACAGGCGGGTCGCACCTTCGCTGCAAGATATTCTTCGAGTAACTGTCGCCCCGGATCCCCTTGTCAGGATTTACGGTTAAGCGGTGCCAGCAGCACGTGCAAACAGCTCCAACCACACTGTGGCCAGTGCGCGGGACATTCCCGCCCGTGGTAGGGGAAGGACTTGGAGGTCAGGTGAAGTTTTTAAAGGGAGCTGACGGACTTCGTAGTTTGTCATGCTGCGGAAACATGTGCTTTCAATCTTCCCCGTCTGCCCAGTTGTTCAGGAAAAATACAGCCTTTGCTGATTCCTGAACCTGTTTGCAACAAGCTTCTGTGGTCCCTAAACCCTGAAAGGTAAACCCTATCATCGTGCAGGCATGGATGATCCCGTCAAGCTTCTGTTCTCCTGCTTGTTGGGCACTGGTCACTGGCTGTGCGTATAGCTGGACAGCTAGTTTAGGACAAGTAGACTTGACATATAGGGGTTGCCGACAAATAGGGGTACCCTTCTTGGGGGTCTCTTCACAGGGATTCTCTTCCCTTTGCGGTCTACAAGGGGTACCCCTACTTGGGAAGTGCCCATATGTGGCAGCTGGCAACATGGTTTCAACGCTCGGGACCCTTCCAAGCGTCCCCCGTAGCACCGCGAACGCCAAGGGAGGTTCCCTGACAGAGGCACCAGTACCTGGGCTCCTATAAGTTTGATCTCCAGGGTTTAGGGTTTAGGGTTTAGGGTTTAGGGTTTAGGGTTTCTATACCACTTGCGCCTAATTCCTAGACTGTGGCTCCAGAAGTTAACCTGTCTGGTTTGGAGATCACAAAAGACCCTGGGGCAAGGCGCAGCAGACCTAAAAGGGCCTGAAGCCCCAAAGCAGCTCAAAAACATCTGAAACCAACAGTCTAGGCAGGCCGCTCTTTGTGCACCAAGCGCGCCGCGAATTGGAGCTGAAGCCACTCTGCTTCTAGGGACCCAGGAGGCCCGCAAGCAATCGGAAGCACCTTTGCAAAAGGTGGATTTGGGCTGCCTGTGCTCTGCACCGTGGCCCCTCCCCAGCAACATATTGCTGATGCTATCTGATGCTCCAACCTCAACGCCCCACACTGACGCACTCCCCACTTCCGGAGAGTCCATATAGTCCTGACAGCAACCCTAAACCCTAAACCCTAAGCCTAAACCTATCTCCCAAACCCCAAACCCTAAGCCTTCGAGATTCCAGACCTTCCACATGCCCGACAGCTTGGCTTACAGGGCTCGAAGCTACTGGACAAAGGGCCAATGTTGCCATGCGCACATGCCATCTGCCATTCTAATCCAGTAGAAGTTTAGCGTTTCTGGCTTGGAGGGGTACTCCGGGGTTGGCGGGCACTCCAGGGGAAAATCATTCTCGCACTCCGGGATACCAAGCAGGACTATCTGAGGAAGGGCACTCCATGGTTTTGAGGCATCCCCCTTGCTGGGAGAGGAGGACATGGGCGAGGAGAATACCTGAGTTGAAGTGTAACAACCCCAATCATGCCGGGTGGGGGAAACCCTAAAACCCTAAATCCTTTTTTTCGAACTTGGCAACTACTTCATGCCAGGACTCAGCGCCCGAAACCCTTTTTTAACACGGACCTCTGAAGCGCGCCCGAAACCCTAAACCCTAAACCCTAAACCCGAAACCCTAAGCCCGAAACCCTAAACCCTAAACCCTAAACCCTAAACCCTACACAAAAGCGACCTGCTGCCCAGGAGCCCCGGAAGTCGGGGAGTCCAGGCGCGAGGCCAAGTGAAAGCCGGAGTACCGGCCCTGGCTTCGGTGTCTTGAAAGGGTTTAGGGTTTAGGGTTTAGGGTTCAGGGTTCAGGGTTCAGGGTTTCGGGTTTGGGGTTTAGGGTTTGGGGTTGCTAGATCTGCTGGATTCAAGCCTTCGAAAGGAGCCTTAAATAAGCACTGCTACAGAAAAAATGCACGGGTACTTGGAGGAGTTATCGAGCAGTGAGCGACTGTTAAGGACCAGGCACCGGAATTTTTTTTGCCAGGGATGACTTTATCGATATGTTGCAATGGCAGAATGCTGCCCTAGTGCCAGATTGCGTCCATCCGCCACCTACATGATGACAAGGACAGCCATAACGTGGGCAGGAGAAGACCAGCATTAACAACCGGAAGAGTGCAACGACAGAACTCCACCAACACTAGCAGAGAAGAGGGTGTGAACCCATTCCGCTCAAAGAAAACTGACCCTAAACCCTAAAACCTAAACCCTAAACCCTAAACCCTAAACCCTAAACCCTAAACCCTCAACCCTGCTCTCTCACACACACAGTGCGCTGCCAAGGCGCAGAGGCTGCATACCTCACAGCCGAAGCTGCTGCCTCAGTCCGGATACCGGCCGGCCTTGGTGACCGTGGGTGACAGCCCCTAAACCCTAAACCCTAAACCCTAAACCCTAAACCCTAAACCCTAAACCCTAAACCCTAAACCCTAAACCCTAAACCCTAAACCCTAACCCCCTCTGGGGTGCTTTCTAGTTGGGGTGTAGGGTGCAGGGCTCCCAAGATAAGATGCTGCAGCCTGAGAGTTGGCTTCAGAGGGCCATGATGATTCCCAGTCTTCAACATTGAGTGTCTATTCGTCTAAGTGCCGCCGCAGCGGTAATGGAAGTTACTCTCACAGGGCTCACACTGGTTGCGACTTAGGGCTTAGGGTTTAGGGTTTAGGGTTTAGGGTTTAGTGGTGCAAAGCACTGCTTGCAGGAGAGGCTCTTCATCACCACCACAATGCCTGTGGGTAATTCTGGTTCTCTGGCTGGTTCTTAGTAGGGAATGAGGGAATGAGGTACCCTATATAATCCCTTATAAGGGTGTATATACGGCCTTCCCTACGAAAAACCCGGAAGTTTTTGGGAAGCTTGAGCACTCACAGAAAAGAAAAAAACCTAGGCGACATTGCCATCGGCTCCAGAAAAGAGCGCCCTGAACTTTACCTGCGGGGCCTAAAGGAGGTTTAGGGTTTAGGGTTTAGGGTTTAGGGTTTCGGGTTTAGGGTTTAGGGTTTAGGGTTTAGGGTGGTTTAGGGTTTAGGGTGGTTTAGGGTTTAGGGTGGTTTAGGGTTTAGGGTGGTTTAGGGTTTAGGGTTTAGGGTTTAGGGTTTAGGGTTTAGGGTTTAGGGCTCCCTGAATGCAGGCTTCAAAGATGCAGTAGGCACGCGAAACGGGCTGGCCATTTCTCCTCCTCATCTTCTCTCTTTTTAGGACAGTTCAGCAAACAAATCCCCCCCCAAAAAAGAAGCCCAGGCCTGGGACCTCCTTCAGCACTTCCAGCCCTTCCCCGAGGCTGGGCCACGTTGGTGGTGGTTCTGCATCCTCTGCAAACTTCGGCCGGTTTGGGGCCCTAAACCCTAAACCCTAAACCCTAAACCCTAAACCCTGAACCTTTTGGATGCTTTGGGGCTTCGCCTGGGTCAGGCTCGTTTTCGCTGCGGACTTCAAGGCGGTACTCCTGCTTTGTGGGCTTAATCTTCAAGGCTTGTGGGGCATCTTTTGGGTTTTGGGTTTGGGTTTAGGGTTTAGGGTTTAGGGTCACAGAAAGTCAGGCAACAGGAGGCCGAAGACTCCAAGGCAGCAACGCAACGCCGAGTCGGAGTTTTTAACTCTATGGGGAGTTTAGGGTTTAGGGTTTAGGGTTTAGGGCCGGGGTTTAGGGTTTAGGGTTTAGGGTTTAGGGTTTAGGGTTTAGGGTTTAGCCTTATTGGGGCCCTGATTATAAGGGAGTCCTACTATTTGGGGGATCTATATTCGGGGTCCTGTATTTTCGCAAACAACCTCCCACAAGGCAGAGTTGTGCTCGGTGCAAATTTCCGATTACTCCCCAGGCAGCCTTCAAACAAGCTATGGTTGAGATGTACAGGAAAACCACTGGACAAGCCCATTGTTGAAGAGCCTGAGTCGGGGGAACTCCTCTCTCAAGGCTGGGAAGGACATTCACACATGCTGTAAGTTCCCAGCCTCCCAGTCAACCAGCAATAACCCGGAAATGGTTATGTGGGTTGCCAGGACAGACTTGCCACACCAATTTGGACTCAGGGTGCTTTAGGCTCTTAAAGACTGATGGACGTACTTCGGAATGTCGGTTTCTCACCTCCAAAACACAGCACGCCCTGTCATGCAAGTTGGGTTCTTGATGCTATAACAAGGGCTTTACAAGGTGGGGCCCCCTAGCTATAAGTAGAGTCATAAGAGCCCTAAACTGGGTTATAAGGTTCCTAAATTAGGATATAAGTCCCTTAACTACAGTTAGCATAGTAAGGGGGCCCCTCCTTGTAGAAGTCGAGGAAACTAACGGCAAACGAAGGGTCTGTCTCGGGTTTGGCCAAACCCTAAACCCTAAACCCTAAACCCTCCAACCCCCGGGCTTCGCAAGGCTCCCTGCTGCGCTGAAGAAGGTTCCGAAGCCTTATACGAAGCAAGGGGCCATCCTAAACACCCTAAAAACAAAAAAACTCTATAAACGTTATACACTCTATAAACTCTAAAAAACCCTAAACCCTTATGTTGCCCTTATAACTACAGCTCCGAGTAGCGCCCTGGCCACGCCTCCGTGATAGACTGAGGCGCCGCTGTCGGCCCTGCAGCTCTCCAGCGCGAGAGGATGGCCAGGAGCAGCTGCTCCTGGGTAAACCCTAAACCCTAAACCCTAAACCCTAAACCCTAAACCCTAAACCGCGGCTTTTCTTACTGTTGGTTAGCAGGGGATGAGGAAATTAGGGGCCCAATTTTATCCCCTTTAAGGGATGATATAGGGTCACCAGCAGTAAGTTTTCAGGTTGCAGTTCCTTTTCGCCACCTTCTCACCCGTGTCGCGGCGCCTAAGGGGACATCGACGCACACTGTGAGCAGCTACACACCAACAAGCTGTCTTGCCATGCCCCGACTTCCATAACCTTACTGGCCCAAAAACCCAGGAAACAAAAGTTGAAACTTTCAGAATAAACTACCTTATAAGAAGCCCAAAAGTTGAAAAGTTGGGTTTTGAGCCAGTAAGTAACTTAATCCGTGTTCCCCTAGGAAGAAAAAAGGATCCTTTTTGTTCATATATAAGAAAGCCCATAACCCAAAAAGGAAACAGGATCCCTAACACTGATCTAGATAACTCCATACCTACTGGCTTGGGATGGGCTTTCGAGCATGGAAGCTGCTAAAGTCTCCAGGGTTTTCATCCCTTGGCTCCTGCTGAGCCCGCACCGGCACGCGGGCAATGGCAGCAGCCTTGCAAGTTCCCCCCCCCCCCCCCCCCCACTGCAGATGATGAGTCATCCGGGGCATCTTCTCTCAGGGCATTGGCATTTTTTGGCAAGATTTAAGGAGAGGCTTGGTCGCTGTGCTTCGTGTGGCGGCTTGTGGAGAGGGCGTTGGGTCTAGGCCTGGGCTAGCACCGCAAATCTATATGTAACTGCATGTCAATATCACTTTGCAATGTCGCCTGACTATATCACACCCTTGAGAATAAGCATGCGCTGCTTCCACTAAATATTTCCAAGCACATGACGGACGACGGATAAGGAACCTCGGTGAAGAGCCTTCAAACACACTTAAACCCTACATTCCGAAAGCCCTGAAGGCCCCGAAGACTGCGGGCGAAGGTCTGCTAGCAGGGAATCCACACGGTGCTCCGCAAAGAGCACGGCAAGAGAAAAGGGCCAGGAGGCACCGGCCTTTTAGGGTTTAGGGTTTATAGGGTTGAAGACTTGCTTAAAGGATTCCAGCATTTCTAGCGTACTCCTCTGGCCTGGACTGTTAATCATGGCTTCTCGTGGGTGTTCACAGGTTTGTCCGAGGATCGTTCCCAGCTATGCTCGATGAGCCCTAAACCCTAAACCCTAAACCCTAAACCCCAAACCCTAAACCCTAAACCCTAAACCCTAAACCCTAAACCTAAAGGCTGCATGTCGGGGCTTCCAAGAAAAGCTTTTAAGATTTCTATAGCATCGACAACAGTACAAGGTTGGGGGTCCCCATGGTGCCGAAGCGTATGCTGTCGCGAATTTGGGGCCTAAGGCCTAAGGGTTTAGGATTTAGGGTTTGGGGCCTAAGGGATTTCGGGATATTGCGGGCCTTTCGGTAACCCTAAACCCTAAACCCTTTTGCATCCGGCCTCCCGTGGGTGCTGCCAGAAACTGCCCAAAGCACAGGCTCCCAGTGCTACTGACTGGATTCCCATACTCTAGCAAGCCCTAAACCCTAAACCCTAAACCCTAAACCCTAAAGACCCACGAAGCCTGTCAACCAGCCCCCAAGCTACAGGCTTGATCTCAATCTGCTGCCGCGGCCTCCAGGGCAGAGGTCAGGTCCAACCTGAAAGCTGACTTCCGGAGAAGTACAGCAGATATATGTCCGTTATACATCACAATATGAGGAATCCAACCTTATTTACTTATGTGTATTAATAGCCGGGCGCGGGATTTAAGACGTATCTTGGTGTTACATTAAAGAAACAGAGGTTTCTGGTGTTCAAAGGCGTTGTTTTTACCGGAATCGGGCGTTAACCACAAGATCAGATGGTTAGACTGAAATATGTAGGCCTCGCGCCCGGCATAGGTGTGTTTGGTAAGTCTTAAGTGCCTTGTCGTTGGTCAGTTGTTTGGATTTCAGGGGTTGGAGTTTGATTGGGTTGAACTAGGCTTGCAAGTGTGAGGCTCCAGGCCCAGTGGATCGACCATACTAAATAATCAGCATCGTCACATTTCACACATCATCATCTTTAATAATGTGTTCACGGAGCAGTGCCACAGCATCGTGATAAATTCTGTCGGAGAAATGAGCGAAGCACACAGGGGCGTCTTCAATATTCGACCATATAGAGCCGATTTAAGGTTTGCAAGAAAAGCCTAAATAGGAAGGCTTTGTCGGAGCATAACCTGTGTTCAGGTTGTAAGGACCCCAAGTAAGGCGGGAAATACAAGGAAATGTGGACTTTGTAGACAGTCACAAGGAAAGAGGGGGCGTCTTGAATCCCGTTCATATAGGATGCGAGGCTGGCGCGAAACATGAACTGAGTCTGATCCGAACTCCTGGTGCATTCCTGGCAAATGGATGCTAGAAAAGCCACGGAGGATCAAAAACCACAAAATTGATCAAAGCATGGCTCATTCGACTGCGTTCTTCGGAAGGGTCTGTGACGAAAACAGGACTATTGAAGATCTACAGTCCGCGTGCCAGGCATGTTCCTCCACTGCTGCGTTGGTGAATCCCCAAATCCGAGCATACAAGATGAAATCCACAGGGCCGAGACATATTTTCAGATGTACTTTGGGATGCATCCGAGATGCGCATTGGGCCGGCAACCGCTGCAGCCCATGTTGCTGAGCCTCAGAGAGACAAGCAAGCAGCAAGAAGTGGTGGCGTGGGTGGGTTGTGGTTTAGGGTTTAGGGTTTATAGGGTTGATAGGGTTTATAGGGTTTACAGGGTTTACAGGGTTTATAGGGTTTAGGGTTTCGGGTTTAAATGGCTTTACGGCTTACCATGCTCCACCTTCAAGCTGGAGGTCCCTCAGGTGCCAGTACAGAAGCTCTCTGATGAAGCCGTGGAATCCCTGGAGGTCTCCAAGTGGTTTAGGGTTTAGGGAAGGTAGCTGTCCAACCCCTAACACCCGTAACATCCTCTAAGCCCTCAAATTCCTTTTACCTAGACCCAAGTTCAGAACCCAAGAAGAAAGCTCGAGCTGTAGCGTTTCAGGACCTTGTTGCCTTCCGGTGGAGAGCTTGGTGCTAGGAGTTGGGTTTCTGGCCCAGAGCTGAACGATGAGAGTCTAGGGTTTAGGGTTTAGGGTTGAGGGTACTTCCTCGTTAACTCATGCCAAGACCCTCGCCGACGCGTATACACCACCAATGAGCACTTCCCCACAAGCCAAGAATGCAAGTTAGCAGCCGTCAGAAGTTGGGATGTTTCCCCGTATACTAACAGTCCTTAATAGAGATTCTAATAGGGGTTTAGGGTTTAGGGTTTAGGGCACTATAATCCCTACTCAGGACTGTTAGTATAAGGGGGCACATCCCAAATCAAAAGCTCTTCTTCACGCCACAGGCACAGCGACCAGGCACGCTGCCAAGCACCGCCAGATTCGAAGCCTTGGACCAGAGCCTCAGCAAAAAGGACGGCCCATACATGTTAGGGTTTAGGGTTTAGGGTTTAGGGTTTAGGGTTTAGGGTTTAGGGTTTTCTGTTTAGGGTTTAGGGTTACATGATATGTGCGTCCGTTGCAGGGCGTGTCCTGAGGGTGAGGGCCGATGTGCGGGGACATGCTTCGCAGTACACGCAGACTGGGGGGCTTCCAAACCAGACTCTCAAAAAAACAGCCCAAGCTTTGATGTGCCGGACGTCCTGGAAGCGTCCACGTCATTTTGGGAAGATCGACTCCTGCCCTATAAAGACAAGCAAAAGCAACCCTCAGTGTGGCAAGCGGCGCTGTAAGTGATGTGGTCAGGCGACATCCGCCTGATTCGAGGTCGTCTGCGGGCTTGCAGAAACTCAATATCATAAACTCTAAGCCGCGAAATCGGGGTTTAACCTGGTTACTTCTAGGATTGCCCTGCACTGCTGGCAGCTCGCTCAAGTCCCGATGCCTATTCTCCCATGCGGCGTGTTCTGTCAACCAACCGTCGTACAATTGGTAACCGACGTGCATTGCATGACCAACTTCAGAATCCTTGGGGACGAAATGAACCCTAAAATGGGGTTATATACCCTATACTGTACTACTATAATTCCTATTAAGGCATACGGACCATAAACCCTTTAGGGTTCTTTTGGTCCCTAAAAAATATGAGGGTCCTGCGAAGTCGCCGCTGGCCAGCCATGTGCCGAAAGAGGCTCAAGGAGAGATGCCTGGGGAGCGGGACATTGCGAGCTCAGTTTCTTGGAGGCTTTCACCCTAAGGCTCCAAATAGCCCAAAGTAGGTATTATTTCTAGACTTTCGACCCCAATGTAGGTATTCTTTGTATACTTGGAGCCTGAGGGTCACAGAAAGATCAGTCGAAACCACAGAAAGATCGGTGAGAACCCCTCAAGTTTCGCCTCTGCCACACCATGAAGGCCTAAGCTGCTCGTCAGCTAATACCAGCTATAGCATGTCTCCAACCCCAAAAGCCGAACTCCCAACAGCCCACCCAGCCGCCGCGACAACAAACCCTCCGCCCTTCTTCTACCCACAGCTCTCAACCTTCTTCCAGAAGCTCCCAATCCCTTTTGATCCCCCAAATCTGGAAGCCACACCTGAAATCCTGAACTCCGCCGCCCTCATGTTTAGTGAGCTTCATCAGAATACAAGGCGTGGACCACAAGCTCAAGAAAGGTTCGAGAGGCGGCACCTACGACTTGCGAGCTCTATGCAATCAGCATGAAGTCCTGGCCTCTTGCAGCCAGCAGGGTTAGAGTTAAGCATGAAGTTCTGAAAGCCGGAACATGGACTCCAAAACCCTGAAAGCCGAAACCTAGACTCCAAAACTGCCCAAAGCACCCCCCCCGCCCTTCCCCCGGGCGCCCGGCCATTTACCAGCCTTTCCGGCGGCACTCACCACAGTGTTGGTGCCAAGCCGATCGGGTTGCAACGAGGCGTGGGCCGAGAAGCCTTAGGGGCACTTTTGCGTGGGCTTGGGGCTTGGGGCTTGGGGCTTGGGGCTTGGGGGTTAGGGTTTAGGGTTTAGGGTTGAGGGTTGAGGGTTTAGGGTTAGGGTACATGCCCTGTTGGCAATATGGGTTGACCCAAAACCGACAAGTCTTGCGAATCATTGTTGGCCTGATTCTGTGCAAAGCTAGGGACCATGAGAAGCTCTACATGTCGCACGTGACCTATTCAAAGCATCGAGAGGTGCATGCGCATGCTGGATGTGCAGTACAGGCCCACAAAGTCCCATAGGCATAAGTAAGGCTACGCAAAAAGAACCCTAAACCTTAAACCCTAAACCCTAAACCCTAGCCCTAAACCCTAAACCCTAAACCCTAGAAAGGTGCTCTCAAGCTCGCAGGAGCGGAGTGCATGCAAGGCTTCCCGCCAGCGAGCACTGCCCTGAGAGGGACGAGGCTGAAACTTTAAGCTGCCATAGGGTCGCTTGGAGATTATGATAGGGGGGGGTACTACAAGGTGGGGCCCCAGTTGGAAGTAGAGTTATAAGAGCCCTAAGTTGGGTTATAAGGATCCTAACTTAGGTTATAAGTCCCTTAACTACAGTTCGTATAGTAAGGGGGCCCCTCCTTGTATAAACTGTATAAAGGACTGCTAGTATACGGGGGAACATCCCAAATAGGGCCCATAAAAGGTCTGTCCTGCTGCTCCTGCCTGGATTGAAGATGTTGAGTTCTAGATGCCTGAACTGCATGCCTACATGCAGCCGTAGACTGGAGTTTTGCCGGGCCTTGAATTACTGAGCATTCATACTAACGAGCTTCGGGCACCCCTGCAGAATCTCATCGTGTTCTTCTTTGTTTGCTGCTCTTTTTTGCAGTTTCCCGTTCCTGGACAGCTCCAGCTACTGCAGTGAAGCATTGTTCCTGAAACCATGCACGGCTTGCTCTTTCGCTAGGAGGGCTCAGAAGCAGTGCTTCCTAAAGCAACGACAGCAACGCCAAACCTACAATCCGACGCGCACCAAACATCCCTCAACCTCAAACTTGTTGTCAATCCTGGAGCTCGGCGGGATTAAACCGACAACCGTAAACCCAAGACTGCATCTTCGGACCCTGAAACTAAAACAAAGGCTGTCACGAGTTGAATTTCATCCTGGGTTATTGAACACGATGTACAGCTTGCAAGTGTGAAGCACACAGAATAGGACAACAAGCATCCTCACGACACAAGGTAGAATTGAAGCAGGCGAACAGCAACGCACGCAAACACCAGTGAGAAGCAATGAGCATGAACATTCTGCCGCAAGCACCCTCATGAGTCAAATCCTGCCCCCCCCCCCCCCCCCCCCCCCCCCCCCAAAGAAGCGAAGGCCCTGGACCCTAAACCCTAAATTATCCTCAACCGCAAACCTTAATCCTTTGGGATGTTCCCCCTTATACTAACAGTCCTTAACAGGGATTCTTGACCCCCCCCTATTTATCATCCCTATTAAGCAGGTGTTAGTATAAGGGGGAACTTCCCAAACCCTAATCCCTTTTGCATCCGGGCTCCCGTGGGTGAAACCTTATAAACCCTAAACCCTAAACCCCAAACCCCAAACCCTAAACCCTAAACCGCCTGAAAGGTGACAAAGGTCTTTTGGGCCTCCAAGGCTGCCACCAGGGAGTTGCCGGCGATGATGTCCAGCTCAGACTGTGCCCTACATTGCTGAAACCTGAGTGGGTTTAGGGTTTAGGGCTTAGGGTTTAGGGTTTGGGGTTTAGGGTTTAGGGTTGGGGTTTAGGGTTTGGGGTTTAGGGTTTGGGGTTTAGGGTTTGGGGATTGGGGTTTGGGGTTTAGGGTTTTGGGGTTTAGGGCAGAGCTTCTCTGAATGCCAAGTCCAAAAGTTCCCAAGCCTCTGAGACCCCAACCCTGGCCTAAAGCCCACAAACCGGGTTTAAACATTTTTTGGGAACTCAGGGGGGAACTTTCCCGAACCTCGAGGCATTCCTGAAACATCGCTCACAGGGTGCAGACCCAGCTAGAGCTCATATGGAAGTCAAAGCTAGATCTTTGGGTTTAAGTCAGGGCCTGTCGCGCCCGAGATTTGAGTGAGATGTTTCAAGTTCAAGGGCTTCCCAAGAGGGGTAAACCCTAAACCCTAAACCCCAAACCCTAAACCCTAAACCCTGAACCCTCAACCCTTGTCATGTCGAGTGGCAGGTCCGTGCCCCTCTGCCATTGCGAAGGATGCTGGAAGGAGCTCAAGGCGGCGCTGTAGCTGATGACCTCGGCTACGGTTTTAGTGGCACAGAAACCTCTAGCGGTTTAGGGTTTAGGGTTTAGGGTTTAGGGCCCCTGAAGGCTGATAAGGACACTGTGTCAAGGTCTGAAGCTGTACTCTGCATGGTGAGTTCAGGGGTTTGAGGCTTTGGTTTTCCGGGCCAGTACGACAACAATCCAATGCAAGTCCCGGCACTTCGGAGCAATACCTTGTCCTCTCGCTTTTACTTGCGCTGCTGCTTGGTGAAAGGCTCGCCGCTGGACTTTTTTTCAAAACCGCCGTGGGAGGGCGTTCGTGTGCTATGTTTGTCTACCATGATGTCCCATTTATACGGGAAACCATACAAACAAAGAAACAACGAAAAGCAACCGTGGAAGCTAGTGTCTTTGTTGTGCTCTTAAGAGTTTGCACCCTTGCAACAGGAGGACAGCTACAGAGGCTTTCCCGCACTCTTGCCAGAACAAAACAACAAAAAAAACAAAAGAACAAAAACACACACACACACACAAAAAAAAAAAACACACACAAACAAACAAAGAAACAAAAAACACACACACAAACAAACAACCAAGCAAATAAAAAAAAACAAGCAACAAACAAACAAAACAAACAAAACAATCAAACACAAAAACATTTAACAAAACACACACGCACACACAAGCAAACAAACAAGCAAAAAACGACAAACAAACACAAAAACAAGCAACAAACGAACAAAACAAGCAAAAACAATCAAACACAAAAACATCTAACAAAAAAACACACACAAACAAACAAGCAAAAAACCAAAAAAACAAACACAAAAACAAGCAACAAACGAACAAAACAAACAAACAAAAAAAACAAACACGAAAACGTACAACAAACAAACAAAAACAAACAAAACAAAACAAACCAAAACAAAACAAATAAACAAACACGCAAACGCACAAGCAAACCAACAAACAAACAAACAAACAAAACTATACTATCTGAACATTGATAAACTGACGCGCATGCAGATGTCTGTATAAGCACACGACTAGTCGAATGCCTCAAGGATGTTAGTAATGTCACTGTGCTCGCCGATCAGTTCAGACGAGGTGAAGTGCTAAAGCAACACAACAGAAACTATTTGGAACGTAGAATCTAATTCAACACATTATAGTTCTTACCAAATAGGCAAAAGGTACTTCACGATATACTACACTATGAAATTCTATATACTATATGCCAGACAAGTCAAACTGACATTCCGATGATGAGCCTCCCACGACTGCAAAAACACTGCTTGTCCGGCGCATGACTATGCTTTTGATATCACCGAATCAGTCAGGAGGCTTGCATGACCAGGCCTGACAAAGATCAAATCAAGCAAGCCTTCCCAAGCGTCGAGCTGGCTGACGCTGGCTGGAAAGGGCCACTGAAGCTGCAGCTTAGTGCTCGCATCGCAGCTTCTTCAAAAATACACCGGCCAGGTTGTCAGGAATGCCCGTCGAATATGTTGTTGAAGTTGCAGCTTAGTGCTTGCATTGCGGCTGCTTCCAAAATTGCCCCGTCAGGGTTCTGAGGAACGCACGTCGAACATGTCAAGCTGGCCGACTACCAATCAAGCCAGCTGACAACGCAAATGGAGCTGCAGCTTAGCCCTATGATAGTGCCCTATAATCATGCCCTATAACATTACCTTATAATCGTACCCGATAATAATACCCTACAGTAATACCCTATAACAGTACCTATAACAGTACCCTATAATAGTACATAGTACCCTATGATGATAAGAATATGCAGGTTATGAGGGGTGAGGGGGCCTGGTGAGGAAGTGTTGGATACTCTTGAATAGTGTAACAGGAGTAGGACTACCAACATTGCGCCTAAACTGCAAGGGTAGATCATCGAGACTATTGTGCTCCATACAGTCATGGTAGATGCATAGGATAGAGTGTACTACAAGCAACTCACCAACTTAACCTGAACACGCCCTGCATCCCAGACACTTTCACCTCGATTTGCGCGTGTCATTCTTGAGCCACCAAGTGGCCATGCAATCTTCTGTGTCGTTCCAAGAATCACTTGGTACACTTCTCGGATTTTGTGCTTGCAGAACACACACTATAGCTTAGTATCCTACAACTGTACACTATAGTGACGATGAATGTGCTTTCTTGCACACTGCCCCTACCAAGCTGCACACCAAGAGAACATGCCCACCCTACGATTCAAGTACTATTGCAATGCCATTCCAATACTACTATAATACTATGAAAATACCATTATAGTACGACTATACTACTAGCATAGTACGAACTATTATAGTACTATTATTATAGAAATATACTAGTACTATTATGATGCATCATAGTACCTATTTGCAGAGATCCAAATACAGAAGTCGTGTGTATAAGATCTCCGCACACCGATGCTCTTTGATCAAGCTTCCCACACTTCCCGGAAGCAATACTTACTCCTGAGGGCTCTTCTTCAATCCTAAACCCTACACTGCAAACCTTACACCCTAAGCCCCTATACTGTGCAAAACTACTGTCGTCTATGCTGATGCTTGGCAGAGCGCACAAACTTGGCCACTTCTTCTTGAAGCGGGTTCGGGGTGCGGTTCACGTTTGTGGATTCAGTCCCTAGCTCGTAGTCCATCACGTTCCATGAAGTCTCCCTGTATGCATAAAGGCAAACACTCCAGCCAACTTCTTCAGATGCCGTCAAGACATCCCGAAGATACGTTCCCGCACCCGGACTGTCTCTTGCACACCCTGTCTCACCCAAAAACACCCTAATTTCTGGCGCAGACCTATGAGATCGTCGAAACTCCTCAACACGTTTGAACTGCCTCAAGACCATTTGTCCATTCCATGCCGATGTTGGCACCCAAGGGCCAGTGCCAGCGGTATCAGGCAGCTGGCCAGGATAGGAAAACATGCCCTGATTTCGCCAACGAGTCGTGTACACAACTGGTTCGTAGAAGTGGAAGGAGACTAGTATGAGCCACTCATCACGAAACACTTGCGGAAGATGCTCCATGAGTGGTATGACAGTACCACGATGGGCCCAAAAGGTGGATTCGACCATTATCGGAGTAGCTAGGTCACTCTTGCGCACGGCCTTCCTCATGTTGTCCACGAGCTCAAGGTAACCTTGCAGAGATGAGGGTTCGACAAACATCGCAAGAGATAATCAAGGGCCGTGGCGCGCGCATGTGCGCGACATGCGTGTGCTTGCGCAAATGAAAAACACACATGCGTGCATGGACCTTGCACAGCTGAATCGGAAATATGTTGACTGTCTGCGCCACCTGAGGTCGCAACTCGGCAAATCCTGTTTGTTGGAGCTGGCTTCCAGACTATCAAACGATTCCTCTGATACGGTGTAGGGCTCGTTCATCAGGTCAAAGGCCACAATCCCAACATTATCACGAAGAGCTTCCGCCAAGATGCCCCAGAGATACGCTGTTGCTATGTCTCGGTGCAAAGTGAGGACAATCTTGAGTCCAAGTCTTGCCATTTCAGACAGAGGAACACACACTTGTGCGAGCAAATCGTCTCGCATTGAGGTGGGCGTCTCCTCTGAAAGCTGACGCAAAACCAGAAGTCGTTCTCATTGTCTCGTCCCACTGCTCCCACCCGAACCAAACCAACTCCTGCATCAAGAAGGTCTTGTAAATTGTCACGTGATATGCGGAGCTCAATGTTGTAGCCAACCAGTCGGCTGCTTCTCCAGAACTCCGCTTTGCCGGAAGCTTCCGGTGGAACCACGGATGTCGTTAGGCTTGTGCAGGCCTCCCACTGTGGCCAGCCAAGGTTCATGTGGTAGCGATAGAGTCGGTGGCGTGCTGCAAGCACTCTTTGGTTTTTGTGTAGCGCAAGCAGTGGGTCATTGCCACTTTCCTCATCATACGCCCAGGGCAAATCTGCACCATCTGCTGCAACTTTGACAAGCAACACGTTGAAGTTGTAGCTGAGCCTGCACACTGTGGTTCATAAGCTTGCTGCCACATCGCGCGAAAACCCTACACGCTCCTATACAACCGCAACTACCATTCTCAATAAGAGGAACTGAAATCACACAACTTGCTGGGACCCGGCCCAGCTACACAAAACTTGCCCAGTAATCATCCACCAAGCGAAAAGACTCGTCCGCCAACTGCACAGAAGCGGCTCTGCGCAAATCTTTGGCACTTATCAAGGCATTGTCAAAGTGGCAGAAGTGGATTTCCTGATGATATGCTTCATCAGCTACAAACCGTACGTGGGAGTAAGTGTCCCAGGTGTCTGCCTCTGCATCATTAGCCATGACATGCTCGAGGAATCGATGGCCGTGAGCGCAGAGTACTGCCTCAGTCCCAAAAAGAACTCTTTGCTTTCTCCACCAGGTAACATAGTTTGCACGCGGAATCACATCATCGTCGCAGAACAGCAGTTCTGGACTCGAGACCAGCGCAGCAATTGCTACCCGGGCATAGGCATAATAATTGTCATGTGATTTTACCACTCGCAAAGGTATAGTGGTGTTTCTTTGGAAGGGGCGGATGGCAGCTTCGAATTCGGCCACATTGTCTCTGTTGTTGTGCCACAGCAGGACTTCAAAGTCGTCCGCGTCTTGTTGATACAGCAGGCTTGTCAAAACAAGGCTTAAGTTCGGAACTCGCCTCCAACTCATGACCACCACTGTGAGCGCGGGGGCCCGGAACTCGCTGCGGTCCACTTGCGATGGCAAGCGTCTGTACATTACACTGCCTTGCAGCCTCTCCGAGAATGCCGCAACTGAAAAATCGGTTGCATTCATGGCGCACAGATGCCTGCGAGCAGACTCCCAACAGGTCGTGTTGGCAAGCATCGCCTCAGCATCCTCGACCGTTTCGTAGAGAAGTGGGTAGTTTTCTCCGACGTATTCAACCACGCTCGCCATGTTTTTGGCGAGGAACGGGATGCGAAGTTTGATGCATTCCTTGGCACTCTTGTGGGCTCTAGCGATACTCCGACTCGTGCAAAGTCCTAGGTCTGCACCTGCCCAAGACAATTCGTGCCAAGGCCATTTCTAGGTCCGTAGGTCGTATGGTACCAACGTGGAGGACCCAAGCCAGCACTGGCATGAAATTTGGAGGCTCCACACTTTTCATCCCGCTTACGCTTTTGTCCCGAAGGGCTCAGGATTGCTTTGAGAAAAGGTGGCTGGAGTATGCGAGAGCTCAAGCCCGAGAGGGATCTGGGGGAGGCTGCGTCGAGGATGACAACACACACATAAAGAGGAAAGCGGGGAGCTGACAGAAGGAACACACGGGTCAGGTAAGGTGGGAAGTCCGAAAGAACAGGGGATAACAACATGGGACAGGGAACAAAGAGGGGCGGACTGGGAAGGCGGGCACACACAGAACGGATAAGTAGCCCACATCGTGTTGACTTAGGACCAAAACGACATCTTTCAGCCAAACAATGTCTATTTTGTGGTTCTGGGACCACCATGTGATGATTTCTGTATGCTACCATTTTCTCAAGCACACCAGCACGAAACAAGTGTACTGGGTAGACCGATGGACCACATCTAACACGAATCACCACCAATGCATCTCGACTTACACGCCTGCCGCGCACCACCCAGATCTTCCACAACTCCTTAATTAAGGTATATACCTTAATTTATACCAAAACTCCTTAAATAAGGTATATACCCTAATTTATACTAAGGATCCTTATTAGGAATTAAGGTATATACCTTAATCAAGGGGTTTTGGAAGATCTGGGCATCGCATGCATACCCATCCAACACAGTTCAACCACACGCAGCGCAACACCAACCACAGCCCCACACGGCGCCGCAAACCTACACTTTTTTCACAGCTTTTCGCAGCGTGATCACATCCCTACCACTTTACTTAACCACTCGCACCATGCCGCCCACCGGAGCTGTTCAAAATTTGTCATACATTGCTGCCTATGCAGGCTGTCATGCACGGCAACAAAGTCCTGTCAAAGAGGACAGCAAGTTGGGTACTAATACGTGCCTGCAACATGCCAGATCTCCATGATGGGATCGTTCTAGGTGAAGACCGACAGGGAGGCCATGGAAGTTGACCATTAGCACACACACACACACAAAGTTCTGACAGTATATGTTGCGCTGAGGTTCCACCACCAAAGTATGCGCAATGCCATCGGCCAAGGGCGACAGCATAGGCACAGATGAAGCCAGCATTCTTTCGTACTTCTCCTGCTAAGTGATCACACGCTAAGCGGGCCCTGTGCAACAAAGGTTCAACGAGGCAATTACGGCTAGCACTCCTACACCTACTAGCCCCTCCTGGTCCAAGAACTCCAGGCGGGAAATGTTCTCCGACGCATTCAAGTCCTTTGGACCTTGGCTGAATTTTGCGGCACCGTCATGCACCCCACAGTGCCCAAGAGATCAACCTCACTCTCAAATAAATCGTCCTTGTGGCAAGCTAGAGCAGCCTAGGGATTCCACCTGCCAACCTCAGCCAGGCAACCTCCGATCCACAGCTTTGACCAGTTCTCTGGCAAGCGTAAAGATATGAACTCACTGAAGTTGCGCATGTACTCACCAACCATCAACAATGTTTTTGGTAATGGTCCTGAGTTTGAGCACGGCGTGTCGGTATACGTGACAGGGTATTTCATCGACAGCACTGGAACAGTCGGAACAGTGGTCGTAAGCAGCCCCCGCATAATTCCTGCGCTGAACTCGGTGAGGGTGATAAGACCCTCGCAGCGTTCCAAGTCACGCAGAAAAGCTTCATCTTGGAAAATACGCTTCAGGTCTGGCACCCACCCAACGCGTTCGAGGGCTTGGTGCATGACCCCAATCCAGGGTCCATCCGGCATCTTGCCCTCCTCAGAAAAGAACTGCTCTACAGCTGGGACGAAAGCAGTTGGTGCCTTCGCGCTGTGCAGCTCTTCCCAGAGCTGCCTGATAGAAGCTGCCCAACCCTTGTGATGGGGCCAGTTGCCTGGCGGGTCCAGGAACCTCAATTTGCCATGCGCTTCTTTGCGCCCATCTTGCTGCCAGCCTGGCTTCCACAGGAAGGCCTTTGCTTGGCCATCGGGCTTCTCTAACGGCATGAGCTCACCGAAATGGCCCATCAGGAACTGGCATACGCCTGGGCTTCCATAGCCATTCACCACGATTACGGATTCGCCCTGTGACAGGGCGGGTTGCAACAATTGCCACAATCTCTCTAGTTCGTGCTGGTCGCGCGTCAAGTCGAGGAAAACCAAATCGTATGATGCACCGAAGGGGTGGGCTAAGGAAGACCGATTCCAGGTGGATACATCGTGAGGAATCTGCCGTATAAAAGCGTTGTCATGGCTGGAAACGACTGGGGAGAACAGCGCCCTGAAATCCCGTCCTGGGGCGCGAGAATAACTGTAGTAATTCATCCAAAGCTGCCACAGGAAGCCATCAAGGGCAACCAGGCGGACATGCGACGTCCAGGCCTTGGGCGGGACTGCAACCACTGCCCCAAGCATCAGCTCAGTGGTGGCTCCCAGAAAGCAACCCACTTCTAAGACGTGTTGGACCTGCCTCTCGCGGATGAGGTATACGAGAAGCTGCTGCACTTCCAAAGTCGTGGTTCCAATAGTGTTCGTCGTCTGTATGGCCTCATTGAGCCATCTGGCTTTGTGAGGTTCAGGCCTGCTCCTCTCGCCCAGGTGCAATTGTGCATACCTCATCTGATCGATCACGCCAGTTTGGCTCACCTGCCCAATGCCAAGTAATCTTAAGCAATAAATGCTCAAGGGTACGCAATAGAGCGAACTTTTCGCCAAACGGAAGTATTAAAGGGTACGGAATAGAGCGAACTTTTCGTCAAACGGAATAATAACAAGGTACGGAACAGAATAATGCGGGCCAATCCAAAGGAAAATCCATAATCAGCTGGAAATGCTGTTTGATTTTAGTTCGGGCCTCTTAAAGCCAAGACTCCGATCCTTGCCCCGAGAATCCAAATCTAACCGTAATTCAGATTTTCATCCTGGCCAGAAACCATAGTTTTGTTTTTTTAGAACGCTTATTCGAGGAGCCCAGGCAATCAATCCTGCTGAGGGGTAGTATACAATTATAACTGGGTCCCGGATACGTAATAGTGGGCATTAAAAAAGGGTACGGAATAATCCAGGCCACCCCAAAAGAAAATCCATACATAGTCAGTTGGAAATTCTATTTGATTTTAATTGGGGCCTCTTAACGCCAAAACCTCTTCCTCTTCCTCGTCCTCCTCCTCCTCCTACTCCTAATCCTACTCCGCGTTGAACCCCTCCGAAATTCCCTCAATTGTTGGGTGGGGTGCGGGGTGGGGGGTGGGCTGGTTCAGAACCCAACATTAATGCCAGCCCTTAGCCGTCGTTAAACCTAGATGACAGCTGTACAGCAAAGCAGTAAAAAGTCTCCCGACCTGTGGGCATGCGGGTCTCGCAGCCATGATTGCCTTGGCTGCTCCAACAGCCTGGCGAAGGTCCCGCTCATCATCTGTCCAAAATGCACCGAGGAACTGCCTATCGATCTCGCGCAGCTCCACCAGAAGGTGCCGGCATGTCTCTCGTGCCTGTTGCACTTTGTGCCACATGTGAGGCACGTTTGTTGTAAGGTGTTTTACCTGATGCAGGGAGTCGTCCACATCAACGACCATGGCCGGTGGGTTCTTCTTCACCAATGTCTGCAAGCGGTCAGGTGGTGACAGGCGGAGAAATCCAAAGACTGGTGCCAGAGCTTGTGGTGTTTTGGCCACGTCCTCGTATTTCAGAAAGTAAACGCCGACGTTCAGCGATGCGGTCAGCAGCTCTGACAGGCACGTTGACCAAGTGTGCTCCAGGCTTGTGCCGTAATTGTGGACCTCCGTCGCTGATGTGGGTACAACAGCCGGAGTGCCATAGTCATCGTCCTTTTCGAGGAACCACACCCCCGTCTTCTCGGCAGCTCGGAGCGACAGGAATTGTTGAAAAAACATTCTGCCGCCACAGTACAATCACGTGGGTAATTTCCAAATGGGTGAGGACTTCGCTAACTGTCAAGTTCACTTCTTCTGGCTGTTCGCAGTGGAGCTTGAAGCCTTCCCAAAACTGGCGTGTTGGGGCACGAAAATGTGATGAAAGCGCAGCCAGCGGCTCATTGCTCCGAATGTCTGCACTCTCCGCATTGAGAAGTTCTCCATGCAGAATGACTGATGCATGGTTGCGGAGGAGTGCGCTGACAAATGAGCTTCCACTTCTTGGGTGAGTCAGGAGAACAAAGCGATCCCCTGGCACAAGTGCCCACGCACTGAAAAAGCAACACCACCACATCGCTGCCATGAGAAGCTGCTGCTACCGGTTCTGGAACACGAAGCGCTGAGCACTCTTCTAAATCCTTGAACCACAAGCACTGAGGCTTGATGCAACGCACTTTCGCAAATCCCCGTGAAATATGCATGTAGCTGCTAGCTACGCTGGGCAAAGCATGCAGCGGAAAACATCCAATTCCTAACACACATGAGGTCGGCGTCTTTTCTCCCGCGGTTGATTCAGACAATCTCAGACTTCCATGCAACTCCACCCGATTCTCAAGCTTGTCGCAATACATGCAAAAAAGCCCCCAGTAGGAGCTTCCTGGTAGGAGGCTTCGCATGTGCTGGCGAGAGCACGCGTTTGCAAAGATTAGTGAAACCTGCCATCATGTACGTGAGATCTATACGGCATACTAGCTGTGCATTGACGGGTAGCTGTATGTTTAACCGGGGCTGCAAGGGGTGAGGCGAAGCAGGGAGGTGTCGACGTACCAACAGCCTGGCAGCTCCTTGAGTCTTCGTTGCAAGTCCCTGCTTGACTACCCAGTCCATGCACTCCCCTGTGCTACTGTAGACCCTTCTATGGACTCCCTATGGACCTCCGCGAACCCCCCGAATCCCTTTGCTGCTATGACCCTATGGACCTCCCGACGAGTGTGAGATTGCCAGCTTGGGCAGATATTGGCGTATGATCATACTGCAGGCTGATGTTGACAGTTGGCTCCCGACCCCACTCTGCGTTCTCGCGGTGGTCAAAAGACTCAACTCGTATGCCGTGACAAGGAGCTCTGATCCGGAGCTAAAGTACTAAAGAAATCTCACCGGGCCTATAGCACAGTGAGATAGCGTAGCCCTGTGGTCGCTGTACAGGGTTTTCGGGACATTGCTTTGCAAGCGGTCCAAAAAGCGTATCTTGAGGGGACCAATCTTAGCACTGCGTCATTTGTGACTCCATCTCTTCCCTCACTGCCTGGAGCTCAGTCTCCTCGAAGATTTCTTTGCTCTCTCTCTCTCTTTCTTCTTCTGGAGCACGGTGGCCCCGCGTCGGCATCGTGGACATCATATATATATATATATACACACATAAAATTACATAAAAACACTTACATTCATATATATTTTTCTGTATATAATATACACAAGCAAGTGCTTGAAGGTGGGCTGCACGAGCCAGAGCACACTCAAAGCGGGGCATGACGGACCCCGCTATCTGTGGCACCTATGCTTGCTGCTGCAGGCCACACCGAGACGGGATGCGTTAGTGCACAAACGGCTCTCACAGCCCAAGACCACCCATAATGCGATATGCGGGCTGCATGCAATGCCCGAATACCACCCAAAGCCCAAGCCCTAAACTCAAAATCCAAAGTCCAAAGCAGCAGACTTCCAAAGTTTCGAGGGGCCGAGGGTTTGCTGCCCGCTGCGCGGGCGGCGCTGAGCAAGGCATCAGCCCTTTGCCATCGGGCGCAGCCGGCGCAGGCGCTGATCTTGGAGGAGCAGGGAGGCTAAGAAGCTTGTGTCTTGGCAATGAATGGTTTAGGGTTTAGGGTTTAGGGTTTAGGGTTTAGGGTTTAGGGTTTAGGGTTTAGGGTTTAGGGTGAAACCCGCCCATACGCGAATGAGCCTCCTCTGCTCATCAAACGATAGCAGTTCTTCTGCATCTGCATTCATTCAAGCAAAGGCCAGGGCTTGGATTTGCGGGGTTGGGTTGAAGCTCAAGCTGCCGGATGTCCCAAGTAACAGAGCTAAGGTGGAGTTTCTTCGAGATTAATGAATGGCTTAATGCATGCCTAAGTGCTTTGCTTCCACGAGGCTGTGAGCTGGACCCATGGACCCTTCTTATATGCTGAAGTAGTCAACTCATTGCATGCTCCCTGCATGAGGGTCCCGCACGCCACTGCGGGAGCTCTTTTGGTCGAACGCAATCGCTGCACGGGAAAAAACCTAAGAATGGACGGTTCACTACGAGCATCGCCCCTCTCAGTCCAGCAGCTGCGGTCACGCGCTGCACTCTTGGCAGATGAGCTCCGGCGACGCGGACCACTCCGACTGCCAAGTGTCCTTGTAGTAGCTCTGGAACTCGGGGATCGTGTAGCGGCGGCCGTCCTTTGCGAGGCGGATCTGCGTTGCCACTCTCGCAGCATCCCAGTAGCGTTCCCAGTTGCTCTGGAAGAACATGCGGAACTGGCTGGCCGAGTATGCCTTTCGGTCTGGGGCCACACGCTTCTCTGCCGGCGCCATGCTCCACTCGCTCAAGAAGTTGGCGCGGTAGTACTGTTGAAAGCCCTGTGCAGTGTATGCCACGCCATCCTTCGCATAGCGCTTGGCCTTGTAGTTCAGGTTCTCGGCCACAGCAGAGTCGGCAGCCGTTTTCAACCGGTCTGCCTGGCTCCCGTATGCCCGGGCGTAGGCGTTCTTCAGGGCAATGGGGTCGCAGCCAGCCTTGGCAAGCTCCAACGCTTTCTCCTGGGCCTCCCTCTTCCCGAGATTCACACCACTGCTGCTGTAGAGCGTGCTGAAAAGGCTTTTCACTTGCTCTGGCTCTGCATAGGCCAGCGTGAGCTCCACGGCCCTGCTCTGTGCAACGCTTCTTGGGAGGTCGACGGCGGAAGAGCTGTAGAGGGCGGAGAACATCTGCTTCAGAGTGTCTGGATCGATGCGCTGCTTGGCCAGCTCGAACAGCTTGTCCTTGACCACCTGCTTGGAGAAGTCCAGGCCGGAGCTGGAGAAGAGGGCGTCCTTCAGCTTCTTCAGGTCCTCAAGGGTCACTCCGCAGTCGTTCAAGATGGCTCCGTCCTTCTGCGCCATCCAATCTGCATCGGACCTGTCAAGGTCCATCCCCTGGCTGCTGTAGAGCCACTGCGCAAGGTCATGTTGACTGATGCCGCTGCTGGACGCATTCGCCTGCAACTGGATGTTTGTCCTCACGCTGAGGGCAACTTGGAGTAAAGCCACGAGAATCACCTTCAGCAGCGCCATGGTGCTGTGCCCGATGCAAGGGTAAGGAGACGAGGTGTTTTTTCAAACTGCGTAAGCCGCTTTCGGCCGAAATGCTTTGCTTCTACAAGGGTTTGCACTCCTCGAAGTCTTTTGAGGTCATGGCTAGGGCACCGGCTGGCTGTGTTCATTGCAGATTCCACATCCTCAACCCCAACTCGCATCCCAACACCCCACACCTAAACGCGAAGACCCACACCTTCACGGCCAGTTCGCTCCGAGGAGCTGCCGAGTTGTAGCTGATGATGTTTGGCCTCACTCCTGACCGCTTTGTGGCTACAGGATGTGTTATTCTTGTTATTCTTCTTCATATTATTAATAATTATTATCATTCTTCTTCTTCTTCTTCTTCGTCTTCCTCTTCTTCTTCTTCTTCTTCTTCTTCTTCTTCTTCTTCTTCTTCTGCGCTGTCTCTCCCCATCTCTCGCTTGCTCTACTCTCTCCCCGCTCCTCTCTCTCTTTCCCCGTGTTGTCGTGACTTGGTGAACCGTGTTCTCCTGTGGCCAGCCCTTGTCAGGCAGTGACCTTGAAGGCACCTCTGCTACCAGTGCCAAGAAACCTTGCATTTGCCTAGTTGTCCAGTAACCTGGGGACGTCATTGCGCACTGACAAGGCTCATCCACAACATGCAGGCGTTGTGAGGGCCCCGGGGCTTGCAAGAGAAGTGTCCCAACCTTGGGGACGAAATGAACCCTAAAATGGGGTTATATACCCTATACTACTATAATTCCTATTAAGGTATATGGACCATAAACCCTTTAGGGTTCTGTTGGTCCCTAAGGAACCTGGCACTGCCTGACGCCCCAGCATGGCTGAAGGCGTAGAAGCCTAGAGTCTGTTGTCTTGCTTGGCACCAACAGTTAAAACACCCTGCCGAAACAGCCTCTTGCACCTGGCCGCGGGCGAACCCAAGCCAGCAGGAAAGTTACTACGGGTGTGGGAAGATGCGAGGTCCTCCCGAAACCCTAAACCCTAAACCCTAAAATCCCTAAAACCCCGAAAGGACCCTTCCACAGCAATCACTCTCGACTCCTGAGTCCGGCATCTTGGTGAGGATGTCCAGCGCGAGCTCCCATCGGCCGCCCTTCTCACAGGCGGAGATGCCTGGCAAAGGGCACTGCTTTCGGGACGTCCATCTGGCGATTTCCAAAATTAGGGGTTAGGGTTTGGGGTCCTTGTTAATTAGAGGGGGAATCCTACTATTTGGGGTGGGCTATTTTAGAGGTCCCCTGTGTTCGTAACCCCCTGCTTGGCTTCCAGGGTGGTTTGTGCAACAAGGGCCGATGTCTGCGTCGCCCTGCCGAGCAGGCTTTTAGCTTTCTGTAGGGCCCTTAATGGTTAGAATAGGTTTTTAGGGGGGGGGGGGTCCTTTATGGCATAGATACACACATAACATAGCTATAAAGGGAAATAAGGGCCAGGCAATACGATTGTAACAAGTTATCCCTCTCGTAGAGTGCCTTGGGAGTTTAGCTACTCGGTGTCTACAGCTTCGGGTATCTTTTTCTTGTCGTGACCAACCCAAGTGCCGCCGCCACATAATGCCAAGCAAAATGAACCTGGAGACTGCCACATGCTGCTGGCACTTTGCCCTGCACGCCTATGCCCTGGTAAAACCCATGTGGCCGAGGGGGCGGGGGTCTTGTTCTCAGAATCTAAAGGCTGTTGACACGAAAGCTGAAGCCCTCGCAGAGCCAGAACGTGGTCAAATCCCTAAACCCTAAACCCTAAACCCTAAACCCTAAACCCTAAACCCTAAACCCTAAACCCTAAACCCTAAACCCTAAACCCGAAACCCTAGTCTTGCTCTCAAGCCAAGCCTTCCTTGAGGAAGTGCAACTACCACAACTACGCAGCCAGCAGCTCAAGCCCTGATCTCTACAAGGGTTTAGGGTTTTGGGCTTAGGGTTTAGGGTTTTGGGTTTTGATGACGGCGCACGGACAGGCAAGGGGAGCTCGGGAAGAAGAGATACGAATTTGGATCGTGAGATCTGGAACCAAAATTTGTAGCCCCATCCCCCTTCCAGAGAGCCCATAACTACGACACCCCAACCTGGAACCCAAGCAAAACCCGTCAGCATTTGCACCCTAACTGTCAAAATACGGTCACAACTGAAGACAAGGCCCACCCAACAATGCTCAAACCCTAAACCCTAAACCCTAAACCCCAAACCCTTTTTGCATCCAGGTCTGACGCCGGGCATCACCTAATTTACTGAAGAGGCGAAACTCGTGTTCACCCCTCAAAGAATAGCTCGAATACTCTCAACTTGATTGTCAGGTAAAATGTCAAAGAGAACCACACATTGAGTTGCAACGCTGAATTCCGCAGACATGGCATGAAGTTCACTGCAGATGGCATCCCAAACCCCATGAGGGCTATTGAGCAGGAAGACCCAGTTCTCGTACAACATCCTGACATGGAGGAGGAAGGACCTCAACGCTACGGAGATCTCACTGTCAAGCTGCCAAACCCCAAACCCTAAACCCTTGAACCCGGACTCTCTGAGGTGCCCTAAACCCTAAACCCTAAACCCTAAAAGCCTGCACTGTACAGGGCCGCATCTGCGGATTTGGCGCGTGAGGCCCAGTCGAGGATGCAGAGAGCCACCACCCACGCCTCGGCTGCTTGTGGAAGAAGTTCTAGGCAACCCTAAACCCTAAACCCTAAACCCTAATCCTAAACCCTAAACCCTAAACCCTTTTTTGAATTATTGAACCCAGGCTCTGAGCATCAGCTGGAACGTAAACCCTAAACCTACGCCTACACCCCAAACCCTAAGCGGCGCTCTGGCTAACAAGTGCTCTGGGATCCTCCAGTCATTGAAGTGAAGAATCACACACGTGATGCTGAATGACCCTAAACCCTAAACCCTAAACCCTAAGCCCTAAGCCCTAAGCCCTAAGCCCTAAGCCCTAAACCATGATACTGCCAGCTTGTGCCTACAGTGGGTGCCTACAACAACAGGAGGGGGGGCGGTGCAACATTGAACAAAGTTGGACCCGCCTTGGTTTTTTAGGGAGGTCCTCTATAAAAAACATGTTTGCCAGCCTATTGGGAACGTGCGACACATCGGGCGGGAGTGTTCAGGTGAGGTCCGCGTTTAAGAGAAGTGTTCCGGGGGCTGACTGGAGCGTATAAACGTAGATTCAGGGTTCAGGACCCGGATTCTGGAAGAATTCGGCTTGTTTGAAGCTGTCCAATGAAATATCAAAAGGCCCCTATGAAGTTGTAGCCGACCGGGCCCTGTACAGGGGCAATTGAATCTTTCTTTGAGAACCTCAAGGAACAGTCTTTGGACTTGGGAGACGACAAGGAGTTGTAACACTTGACAAGAATTGGACGTGAGCTTGGCCCGCGGCAGACGCACGGGCACATGCACTCAGCACCGATGTCCATGCCACCACGCCGACCTTGGGAAAGGCTGAGCCCAAAGCACCGTCATCTGAGGTTTAGGGTTTTTTGGGGTATAGGCATCGGGTATAGGGTTTAGGGCACTTAAGCCCCCCCCCCCCCCCCTCGAAAAACCTTTGCAATCTTTCAGGGTGGTAGGCCTTGATCTTCTCGGCCGCCATGTGCTCTACCAGGGAAAGCGCCAGCTGCCAGCTGCCAGCTTTCGCACAGGCCTCGTGACGTGGCTTACAACTGCTTCGGGGTCCTTGGGGACGAAATTAAGTGAACCCTATAAAATGGGGGTTATATACCCTTTTCTACTATAATTCCTATTAAGGTACATGGACCATCTCAGGTTCATGCGGTTCCCAAGGGTGGAGAGTAGTGCCCTTGCGATTGAGGTTCAGACGTCCGAGTGCCAGAGGGGCAAAGTCAGAATGTAGACATTACGGTTGTCTTCCCGGTCTTCCCTAAAAGACGAGGCTTGTAACTCAATACAAGTTTAGGGTTTAGGGTATAGGGTTTGGGGTTTAGGGTTTAAGGTTTTGGTTATGTACAAGATCTCTCGGACCTGGACTGTCTGGGAATATATGCTCTGCGAATGGGAACAAGCACCCAGCTGATGCTTCATGCTGCTTCAGCTTCTACCCGACACTGAACCAACACCATTTAGCCAAAGAAGATCAGGATCCTATGGTAAGATTGTTAGGGTTTAGGGTTTAGGGTTGAGGGTTTAGCCATCTTCCGCGTAAACACCCGCTCAAATCTGGCCACGCGTTGCGGGCCAGTCGTGCAAGTGCCGCTTAGAAGTGCCCGATTCTGCGGCCCACTCTAGCTTCTGCATGCGTGTCTATAGGGAATCCTGCACAGCAGCGAGAAGTAGCTGGTCGACCTTTGCGCAGAACAGCGACGAAACGAATTAAACCCTAAACCCTAAACCCTAAACCCTGGGACCAGAATAAATCCGAGATTCACCGAGCACAGCCCCGTAGTGAAACTCGTTGATTGCCACCTCGAGGTTCACGCGGGACCCTTTTGCCCGAAACCTTAAACCCTCTCTCACCCTAAACCTTAAACTTGAAACCCTATAAACCCTATAAACCCTAGATAGACCCTATAAACCCTACAAACCCTATAAACCCTATAAACCGTATAAACCGTATAAACCCTATAAACCCTATAAACCCTATAAACCCTATAAACCCTGTAAACCCTGTAAACCCTATAAACCCTATAAACCCTACAAACCCTATAAACCCTATAAACCCTATAAACCCTATAAACCTCACACCCTCTACTAAGGAATCCTTTTCTTGGCTGCACTTAGCAGGGTAGCAAAAAACTAAACTTTTAGCTGCCTTATTAAGAAACCCAAGAAACCCAAAAAGGCTAAAGATGTAAAGTTACAGTAAAGCACCACAAAGATTTTCTTGGTGATGCTACCATTCAGTTCCATGCTTCGGAACAGTTTAAGTCTCGAGAACTGTCAAGGCAAGCAGACATGAAGCGCTGACATCATTCACACTCCGAAGACCACATTCGGGCCAAACGACCACCAGAGCCCAGAAAAAATGATCTGCAGATAGCTGCCTAAACCCTAAACCCTAAACCCTAAACCCTAAACCCTAAACCCTAAACCCTAAACCCTAAACCCTAAACCCTAAACCCTACACAGTTCATCGGCTTCCCAAAACTAGGCATGCCGGCCCCGATTCCCAGATGCCAGTCGCGAGCAAGGCTGAGCAAAGGGGCTGGGCACGTCGGGGCTCGGGCTCACCCCAACCCCAAACCGAATCAACCCCAAACCTACTAAACCCTAAACCCTAAACCCTAAAACCCTAAAACCCTAAAACCCGAAAACCCGAAAACCCTTAAACCCGAAAACCCTAGAACCCTAAAACCCTAAAACCTAAACTAAACCGCCCTAAACCCTAAACCCTTCGGGCCCCCACGTAATCCTCGCAATCCTGAACCTTTGCTGTGTGGGTGGGTGGGTGGGCCCTAAAACCTAAACCCTAAATCCTAAACCCTAAACAAACCCTAAACCCAGTGGGTCTGAGGTTGGGTGTGAGGTATGGGTGGACAACTGGGCAGCTGCGTGATGGCCCTGAACACGCCTGTTGCTCTGCCATCATGCCGAGCGTTGCCTCTGCCACATCTGCTCGTCGGGCCTTCTTGGTAAGCTGTCAGGTTTCGGGTTTGTGGGCCAGTGTTCCTCTTAGTGCTGGCAGGATGTATCCGCTTCCTTATGGTCTTTCCATACTCTTCCCGGGGTCAGGCTTGTGCAGACGAATGTTCACCAACCCACTTCAAGCAACAACGCCCGAAAAAAAGCTAGTATACCAATCAAAACTCGAATCAAAATTGTAGCATTGAAGTATCGCCAGACCCAGCCATTGCAGTCTTCAAACGCTCACGCGCAAGTACCTGGGGAACTCGATGTTCTATATACAACTACTCGGCTGGTAAGGAGACCATGCCTAGCCCCTAAACCCTAAACCCTAAACCCTAAACCCTAAACCCTAAACCCTAAACCCTAAACCCTAAACCCTAAACCTAAACCCTAAACCATCCTCAGACCCTTTGATGCAACATTCATTTCGGCATCTGGCATGCAGCTGGAAGGAGTTCGGGCGAACTTTGGTTTTGGATGTTTAGGTTTTCTTGGGTTTAGGGTTTAGGGTTTAGGGTATGTCTTGAGCGAGCCTGCCTTTGCCAACTGCTTGAGAGTGATGGTGGCTTGCCGCGCATCTTCCTGCCCAGGGGCTGCTGCCAACGTCAAGGAATTCACGCATTTGAGAGTTCAACCCTCAACCCTCAACCCTCAACCCTCAACCCTCAACCCTCAACCCTCAACCCTCAACCCTAAACCCCAAGCCAACTCTCGAACAGCATTCACGCACAATGGCCTTCCATGCCCGGCGCAGCTTCGCGACAGCTTCGCCGAAGGCATTGCCTCCAGCATCGAAGGCCACAGCGAGGGCGAAGGAATTGTCTGGCCTGGTGTAGGGTTTAGGGTTTAGGGTTTAGGGTTTAGGGTTTAGGGTTTATAGGGTTTAGGGTTTAGGGTTTAGGGTTTAGGGTTTCTGGCTAGGCTAGGGCCAAGGACTTGTACTGCATCAATACAGGGCCAGTGTTGCCAGCTTCTAACTGGAACAGGAGTTCGGGTCGAAGGCTAAAACGGATGCCCGCTGTTGTATGCTGCTACGTAGCCCGCGAGATCTAAACCCTAATCCCTAACCCCCCTCCCCCCCCATAGCTGATGTTTTTTTTGGCCCAGCACTCCTCCGCGACTTCCTCGGGGTAGATTGCTGGCTCGAGCCGGGCCCGCTTCGTGTCCTAGTCTTGCTCTTGGGACTCGGAGCGCTCGTGCTAAAAGCAGAGGCTCCAAACCGGGTGAGTGCATCATTTCTGGCTTGGGAGTAGCTGCAAATGCTTCTACGGGGTTGAAGAGTTGATGGCTCATTGCTTACAAAGTTTTCCTAAGCCATGCAACATTTCAAGCTCTACTAGCCCAAGCTTTTATGTGTTTAGGTCCTTGTTTGCTGACTTGGTCTTGTTACAGGGAATCTCTATGAACTAATTGCGCTCGTGCAGCTAACTCATGCCAATTCCCTCGTCCAATCTTCAATTCGCATGCCAAGTGAATAATAGCACACAACATGAAATGGGCTTTTGAATTCTTCAAGCACCTTGCAAACAAAGAATGGAAGCAAGTGCCAAAAGGCCACTGTACATCATGACCTCAGACCGGAAAGATTAAACTCGGCACAAGCAAGTCCAGCTCCTAGCCAGCAAGGCAATGAGGCAAATGCTTTACCTTTCCGACCGGGCATGGGGATTACGTTCTGCCCACGTCCACCGGTGATGCAACTCCTTGAACCTAGATGTCTTCTGCCAGGCTGTCCAAACAAAAACGCCTCAAACCCTAAACCCTAAACCCTAAACCCCAAAACTTGCCAAGCGGCACAGCATTGAGGTGGGCCTGTTGGTGTGGCCAGAGCCCCCACACACCCCCCCCCAAGAGCCCAAGAGGGTCCGGGAAGTGAAAAGTTCTTAAGCGCATGAATCAGTGCATGAAGCAAAAACTCAAGGGTCGTTATAAGCAGGGTTCCATGAATGGTAGCCATGCTTCTAACTCTACTTTCTGTGCGCATAACCCTACTGAGAACGACTAAAACTCGCATCTTGCAGCTTCCCATCAAGGGCTTGGGCTTTCGGTATCGATGAAGAAGTGGACATTTTTGGAGTGGTGGAGTGGTGAAGGGAAAGGCCTGAGCGGTCTGGGAGATCTCTACTTTAGGGCTTAGAGGAGATCTGCACTTTGTCTGCTGGGCCGGTTTTGGGGGGGGCCCCGGCCCACCGCGTCCTGCGCCTGTGCCGGGGCCATGGGCCATATGAGCACGCCGAGCCGGCCACATGGCGATGCCAGTAGCAAGATCCGGACTCTCAATCCCTAGTCCCTAAACCCCCAGATCTTCCAAAACCCCTTAATTAAGGAATATAGGGTTTTGTTACCCTAATTTATACTAAGGGTCCTTATTAGGAATTAAGGTATATACCTTAATTAAGGGGTTTTGGAAGATCTGGGCCCTGAACCTTCAGCGCTGACCCAAAATCTCACGAAGGTTTAAGGGCTGACATCGGCTGAGACCCTCTTCTTGGGCATCAGGGCGACCGAGACCTCCCGGCTTTGTCCGACAAAATGGCAGAACCTAGCCAGCTGAATGCGCCAGCACTAGTGGGACGATGAAAGGAGGAGGAGGAGGAGGAGGTTTTGGGATTTCGGGGTGGCATGCTTGCCTCGACTTCTATTTGTCGTGTAGCTGACTTGAGCATCACAAACCCAGTCAACAGTCAACCCGCCCCAGGTAGCTGTTAAGATCTTCGCTGGGGGGAGGGGGGGGGGGGGCCGGGGGGAAGTGCAGGCCAAGTGGAAGTTCAGGAGCTTCGGGTTCCTTGCCGAAGCAGTGCTGACGGAGAAGCTGTAACCTTCATGCCCCGCATTTTTCGAGCGCGCGCAAATGGCTAGCACAGCTTTGTGGCATCCGCTTGCAGGTCTACGGAATTCTATAGGGGTTGCGCAGCTGTTGTGCGAACACAAAGACAGACCTGTTGCAAGAGAAACATAAACACAAAGGTCCAGACCTTGCATTGCTGTGTCAAAAACAGGACTACCCTTTGCCTTCTGAAAGTCTGGGGCCTCTGCTAGGATTCTCTACCTCTCCACAATTCTCCACAGTTGCCGGTACGTTACGGGGTATACATGGTGAAACAGCCCGAGCACAGACCAATCTCAGACGAGCGCCTGCGTTCAGGATTGCAGCAGGAACAAACGACCAATCAGCCAAATACCAAACTATAAACCCTACATACATAAACCCTATATGCGCCGTTTCTGAACCCTCTAACCCTACGTATAAACCCCAAAACCTTCTGGGGTTGCAAGGCGCTTGCTTGTCGAAATGATGGCCGTCGACGGCTTGTTGGGTTTTGGCTTCACATGCCATTCGCAGATGAACTTTCGGCTTTTTCTCGAAACATCACACACACAATAAAATTATTTGGGCAGCCTTCTTGAAATGCTGGAACTGCTTTCGTTACTTGGATGTAAAACCCTAACCCTAAACCCTCAACCCTAAAACAAACCTAAACCCAAAACCCTTTAAAGTTTACTGCTACAGATCTGACGCCTCCAGGCCTTCATCCGATGCCATGTCTCAAGCGCATGTTTTGGGGGGCTCTCAGGCATGTCCTCACACTTGGGATGCACCCCTTATACAAGGGTTTAGGGTTTAGGCTTGTTTTAAGGGTTTCGGGTTAATAATCGGGGGTACTATAATCCCTATTAACCCTTTTGAATCCGGTCTTGGGCAGTCGCCGGGGGTGGAAGACTGAACACCTAACCTTGAATCCGTAAACCCTCAACCCTAAATCCCTGAACCCTGAAAACATTGACCCGGACACCCTTAACCCTCAACCCATGCACCCTCAACCCGAAAACCCTTAACAGTAAAACCCTAAACCCTAAAACCCTTAACCCTAAACATCCCTTTTTCCCTTAAACCCCTACACCCAAAACATCAAACCCTTGAGCCTGACAGTCGAACACCTTGCACGGACTCAGGCCTCAGGAGCCAAGGCGCTGCCCCTGGCCTTGGAAGACCTCAACAAAGCTCGGGTTCAAGGTTCAGGGTTCAGGGTTTGGGGTTATCGTTTAGGGTGTAGGCTGTAGGGTTTGGGGTTGAGGGTGGTTTGGGGGTGGTTAAGGGAGGTTGAGGGTTTAGGGTTTCCCCTAGACCCTACACCCTAAACCCTTTTTGCTAAACCCTAAACCCTAAACACTCTAGGGTTTGGAGGCTTTGTGGCTGGTTTCAGGGCTCGGAGTTTGGGACATTGGGGATCTGGAGACTCCTGCTCTCAGAGCTCTCCGCCCTAGGGTTTAGGGTTTAGGGTTCAGGGCGCGTGTCTTGTTTCAGTTCCTTCTTGTCTTCAAAGCCTGACAATGGGAGATCAAGCACGAGCGCAGAAAGTCGTCTGCTTAAGGTCAGCATTCTGAGAGACACGACCAGACGCACAAAAAAAACAAAACTGCCCAAGAGCCAAAAGTATGTGAACACGTCAGCTAGGCCGTCAAGTCGGCAGGAGCAAGGCGGAAATGCGACCGGACGTGTGACACTCTGCTGACATGTCAAAGCTGAAACCCTAAACCCTAAACCTAAACCCTAAACCCTAAACCCTAAACCCTAAACCCTGTGCATGCGCTCCAGACATGAGTTGACGCTGAAAAAAAATTCGCAGACGGGCATGGCAATGACCGGGGCCGCGAAAGGGAAAGAGAAGCACACACCAAATGAGTCCCCAAGATGCGTTGCAGAATGCAAGACCCCTAAAACCGAAACCCTGTAGTCGGAAAACCCTGAAACCCGAAAACCCTGAAACCCTGAAACCCTGAAACCCTAAAATCCGAAAACCCTAAAACCCTAAAACCCTACAACCCTCAAACCCTCAAACCCTAAAACCCAAACTTTGGATCCTGAGCCGTCCACTGAGAAGCCGCCCCCTGGTTGCGTGGTCTCCGCCCGGCCATCGAAGAAGCCTCCAAGACCGCGGTCTGGGGTTCACAGAGTTAGGGTTTAGGGTCTAGGGTTTAGGGCTTAGGGTTTAGGGTTTAGGGGAGGACCCTAAACCCCTAAACCCCGAATCCCTAAGCCACACACTCCACTCCCACAACGGTCCCCAAAGTCAACTCCTCGTTCTGGGGTTCAAGGGCCAGAAATTACCTGTCGCGACCCTGGACTCGTGGGTAGGGTAGGATTCAAGAAATGGCATAGATTTAGCTGTTTAAGTAATTTGTGGCTCTTCTTCTGACATGTTATGCTTCCCGAAACTGCAGCTTATGTGGATGCAAGGTGCTGAGGCTGAGGTCACCGCACAAGAAAGGCTTTGTTACGCTAGCGCCGAATGACGGAGTTTCGATGGGATGGCCAAAGCTTAGACTGCTTAGTTGTCCAGCAACCCTAAGGGACCTAAAGGTTATCCTCTGGGGTTATAAGGGGATTTTGTGGTTAAAGGTTACCTACTCTACTACTAAGACTGCTTAAGAGACAAAGAGGTCACGGGGGTAGTGACAGCAAGCTCGTTCTTCAGAACCTCCAGGCCTGAACCCTAAACCCTAAACCCTAAACCCTAAACCCTAAACCCTAAACCCTAAACTCCAGACATCATCAATCAACCCAGAGGCCACAAGCTTGAATCATACGGCCCCTAAGGTACAGGCCATCGGACTGTGGGGGACACCGTTTAACAAGGCACTGCTGCGTGAAGCTTTGGCTTGGGATGGCCTTTCAGGGTTTAGGGTTTAGGGTTTAGGGTTTAGGGTTTAGGGTTTAGGGTTTCCCTCAAACCTCCCAAGAGCCATCCAGCCTTGCTGCGGCGGAGCATCAGCCCGGTTTACTCTGTCATAATTGTAGCCTCCAGTCATCTCCACGTCCCTGGGTTCACAGGGGCCTTTCTCGACATGCATGTTGGGATTATAGAGAATTGAACTGTTTGATGCAAATGGGTTGAAAAAAAAAACATGCTCCAGGGCGTACGAGTTATTGTGATGGTATGAGCGAGATCTGTGAAGTGTAAGTGTGACTCTCATGTCGAACCCAATAACCACAGGGAGCCCAGACCACGCTGGCTACGGGGAACGCAAAGGGAGAGAGACTAAAATAACTAAGGGTGCATGTGTTTCATTGTGCAGCGATTGCCGTTGGGGGGAGGTGGGGCTTTGAAGTCGACTGCTGCGGAGAGTGACAAGGAGCTGCCAGGTGTGCTGCATCATGCATCATTCCCATATGTTGCCTTGCAGTTCCGACTCCCGCCCGAACACAACTAAGCCCCAGGCCCTCGTGGCATCCGGATTTGCTGGTAGATGTTCCACCTCTGAACTGCTGCAGTACAGTAGACTTCAGGGTGGTACCTCTCGAAGGTGGTTGCAGGGTGTGCGGGGGAGCTGCATCAGGGCTTTTGGGAACGCATTCTTTGTGGGCAGGGCTCGAATGAGAATGCCTGGAGCATTTGCAAAAACTTGCAAAATACATACAAATCAAAAATCGGAAAGGGGATTGAGCTCGCAGATGATGCTTAAGGCTTAGGTTTAGCGTGCGGCGCCTTCAAGATTCCTCTTGGCGACGTTTTGGCTTGAAGATTTCATGCATAGGGTGTGCATAAGTACCCGACAGGTGGCACCCTGAGACGAACACGGGTAACCTTGCCATAATCGCAGCCCAGGGAAGCACAAACCTGCATAGGGGGGGGACGCAACTCAGACGTATAATCGGCCGAGCAAGCACAATCTGTCAAGCGGCGAGAAGTAGACGGCTGCTGCTTGACCCAGTAGCGAGCCTTCGCAGCATGCCGGGACAACTCATAAAGCCCCAAACCCCCATTTCAGCCTGTAGGCGGCGGGCTTCAAGGATTCTGTCTTCTATTCTGCGTTCCGTGTTCTGTTCTCTGTTCTGCTCTGTGTTCTGCTCTGTGTTCTGTTTCTGTGCTCTGTTCTGTGTGTTGCTCCGAGTTCTGTTCCGTGCTCTTCCGTGTTCTGGGACTTGGAGTTTCTGTCTGTTGAGAAGGTCGAGGCTCAAGGCCCTCCGGTGCTTTTGAGGCTTCTAAGCTGAAATAAACCCTAAACCCTAAACCCTAAACCCTAAACCCTAAAAGCGCAGAAGCGCCTCCTACTCCAAGAGCTCTCAAAGAGACACTACGAATTCCCAGACCCTCCACACCTTCAAAACTTTAGGGCTTCGGGTTGGGAGGTTCCCGCCCTATACTAACAGTCCTTAATAGGGACTATAGTACCCCCCCATTATAATCCCTATAAAGGACCGTTCGTAGAAGGGG